CGATTTTGCGAGTGCGTGCTGGCTTGACCGCAGTGGTTAGCTTATGTTGCTATCGATGTACAACATGGTGACGAGTGTTTATAGGATGTATGGCCCACTCTTCTGCGGCTCGGTATTCGAATCTCGGCTCCAGCTTTTCTTTGTAGAGTTTGCATTTTGCCCGTGTTCCTTCTTTAGATGTTTGCCTAATTATTGTGTGATTGTCTGCACTTGCAGGATGGAGGATCCCAAACTGGAGTGCTTGAACGGCCGTTTGGCCAAGCTGCTCAACGAAGTGGTGCAGGAGGTTGTGGGCATGGTGAAGGAAACCGTGTCGGCATATCGGGAAAAAACTGCCATCACGCTGAAGGAAAATGAGAATTTGAGGAGAAGTCTGCTGGAGATACAAAGTGAGATGTAGGGAGTCTTACATTTGTGGGCTATTGGAACCAAGCTCTGCCACAAATAGTAAATGAAATGCAAGTAATTGAAGACAATTTGTACATTCGTAGTTTAAACCATGAGCGCACCACAATGTCTATGCATAGTGGAAAATAGCAAGTAAATGCCACTCTCCAATATCATACTCTATAAAATGAGCTAATAACATTTTTCTTCATTTCAGTGTGTGCTTGTGTTGCTCCTTCTCGGGGTGGAGATAAACCGATATGAAAACACTGATAACGGTGATCTTGATTCACAGATATTCTACATGTCCATGGCCTGTTTCCTGACCAGGAAGAGGGCTCAGAGATTCAGCAGCAGAACCCCGGCCTCCCGCTGAAGCCAAACGATACTCCTTGTAATTTGAAGCACAAGAACAATGACGCGGGCTCACGGGTATGCACTTCTGCCCAGACACTAGTAAAACAATGCAAAGAACAACCAGAAGAGGAGGAGCGCAAGGAGGCTCCGACTGTCCAGATAACCACAGACAACGCACAAAATGTTAAGAGAGAGACAGATGCTTGCTCATTGTCTGGTCCGCCAACATTAGAAGAACATGACAGCTGTGTGGAGTCAAGCCCCTTTCTTCACAACTCTCCTAGGCCCATCCACTCGGATCACTCCAAGCACGGCTTTGGCAGTGGAACAATCCGGATGGAGCCCACCAGGAGAGACGATTCCCACCCGTGTCTGGTATGTGGTAAGGTGTTTGGCCGTGTGGGCAACCTCAAAATCCACCTGCGCTGTCACACGGGAGAGAAGCCGTATGGCTGCTCACAGTGTGGGAAGTGCTTCAGTCAGGCGGGAGATCTGAAGAAACACAAGATGGTGCACACAGGAGAGAAGCCGTACTACTGCAGCCAGTGCGGGAAGAGCTTCAATCGGGCGGAGAATCTGAAAAGACACCTTAAGATCCACAGTGGAGAGACTTGAGATTCTAGCACATTTTAATGGAAGCGACATCACTCATTGATGTTAAAGAGGACAAACAATCAAGCCATGCATGTAATCAAGGCAACCGAAAATATTCAAATATGACAAAGGCAACTGTGCTGTTCGGCTTACCACAATATGTCTCCTTTTAATAAAAACACTGACTTATCATAAAAGATGTGGAAAAATCATGTTTCAATTTAGAATATAGAAGGTTGCCCCTTGGAGACAGAAGGCTTCGCCACCCGTTCCATTCTAATTCCAGAATAAAAACAGACAACCCCCTGCTAACGCCTCCCTGTTAGCTGAGTATAATTTTGCCTCAAGGCTTAATACATGCAGACCATGTGCAATAAGTTAACACCTGCACGCCACAGACTCTTGGCTCAGCGGACAGCATACTGGAGATTTTCACAGTAACCGACACATCTCACAGACAAATTTAGAATTTATCACACATGCCATTGCCTGACGACGATGATTCACTGAGCCAGTAAGGCCACTTCTGGTCAAGAACTTGTGCTGAGGTGACACGTGTTTGAGAAGGCATTTCCCTTTTCAAACTCAGTTCTGTCTGCTTTAAAAGGTATTTGCCATTCTTTGTAATCAGGCCTTGGTGAGAATTGAACTCACGACCCCTGGTTTACTAGACCAGTGCTCTAACCACTGAGCTACAAGGCCTTGTGGAAGTATAAAAATTGGTTAAACATTACCGGTAAACCATGCAAAATGGATTTTATCTGCAGCAGAAAAAAATGTTAATTCTTCATAAAGCAAGGAGGTGAATGAGCCATTTTGGTGGTGCCATTTGGTACTTTTATTATTATTGAGGAAACACTTTACCTCTAGCTACAGTTATATAGTTGTCCAAGGACCACTTTAATTTACAAAACGGCATCAAACGTGCACGGTTTTCTATTTTGTTGCTCGGAGGGTTCCATTTTGTCGTCACAGCCAGCTCCACAACCCGGAAGTGATTGGCTCAACACCTTTGCACGAAACCCGAACTACATTTTCGTCCTTCCCACAGGTGAGTAGTAAGTACACACAAACAACTCCGAACCTGTGTAAGCCAAATTCAGAAGTGTCCATTTTTATGGAAACGACCGTGTCCGAATAGTTTACTCACACACAGTCTATGGCGTATTTGTATTTTTCATGAGACTTATTCTGACGTCCTTCGAAACTCGTCCTTCTCATACCGCGCGGAGCTTTAAGTTGCGGATGGTTCACAATTTCTGAGGAAAAATCCCCCAACAAAACAAACATTACATAAATACATGCCGAATACTGGTGGAAAGGAGGAAAAACGCAATTTCCGGCTTGACCGTAAACATTGAGTGTGTTATTACTGTTATTACTTCTTCACAACTGTCAACTGTAAAACATTTTTTTAACCGCTTGTGAGGAAATGGACTAATGTGTTGTAATGCATGGTCATGTTGCAACAGATTTGGTGCTGAGCAGCGTGTGATGTGATGAAATGAAGATAGATGAGAAGGTGGTTTCCTATTTGGAATCAAGCAACTCACCAGTGGACAAAGAAGGCTATCTCTACAAGAAGGTAAACTACCCCGTACACGTTAATTTCAATGTATAAAACTGCTTTTGGATTAATTTTCTTCAAATAAATAGTTTTGTAAGAGAATAGATGAATCATAAAATTAAGAAGAACATAATAGCGCGAATAATACACTTTGCCAAATCATTTTCATCCAGTGTTACCATGACGTACAGGTGCCCAACTAGCTTTTTAGCTGTTACAACCGGTCACTTGGTCTTTTTTATTTATTATTCTTATTTTTTTCCATTGTGTACCGAGCAAAAATTGACCTGTAAGTACACTTCACTCTGCCACAAGATGGAGGCAGCAAACTTCACCACGTCCGGCCTCCGTCAGTTCATGAGGTTAACTTGCAGTGTAATTGCAGGTGGAGTTGTGTGGCAGTTTTTTTTTTCTTCAATTATAATAAAGCAGAAGCAGTTGTCCTGTTTTACAATATGACCAAATAAATAAATACATAAAAGACTAATGCGAATGTTCAGGACTTCATTCGCACAAATTCTGCAACATCTCAGCTTCCTGTTGCGTAAGACCCAGACTAACCGACAGCATTGTCCTGCAGGGTGACATCAGGCCTTCCTATCACAAGCGTTGGTTTGTTCTGAAGGGGAACCTCCTCTTCTACAAGGACCACCCGGATGACCGTGACCTCATCGGAGTCATTGTTCTGGAGGGCTGCACCGTCCAGCTGTGCGAGTCCGAGGAGCAGTTTGCCTTTTCGTTGGTGTGGAGCGAGCCAGGCCTGCGCCCTTACAAGTTTGCCGCCGAGGACCAGGCCAGCCAGGAGAGCTGGATCAAAGCCCTCCTCTCGGCCAACCACGGCTACTTGTCTCTGCTAGTGATGGACCTGGAGAAGAAGTACAAAGGTGAGGTGCCGGATGGTGTCAGTGTTGTTGTTTTGAAATCTGAGCTGTCATTTATTGAAAGTCGTTTGAGAATTTATTTGATATCCAGCTTTGGGTCCATGTATTTGTATGCTCTTTGTCCATTCAAGTAAAATAATTAAGTGTATTCGTAGAACGCAGGGCTTAGCGATTTTGAAAAATATTTTAATAGTCCCCCCCCCAACATTGCTAATACGATTCAATATCTGATTATTTTTTGGGGTTCCGCACAGTGATAGTATACAACGGTCTCCCCTTTTTTCGACAGCGAGAGCGTGAGAACGGTCGCTAGGGAGTATTTTAGGAAGTCCATGCTCATAAATTGAACTGAACTCCTTCGCATGAAACATTTGCTTCTTATTTGTGACTTCAGAAACATTAGCGGCTTTGTTCAGTGACCCAGCGAACGGTGCCGCCGCCGCCCCGAATGTGGGCCGTGAATTGAGCCCACACTTGCCCACGTTAACCCGGCATCCGGCTGGAGCTTTGGCCGCAGGCCCCAGCGCGAGCTTCATCCCGACACTGCAAACTCCGGCCGTTCCCCTCAAATCCACCGTGAAGAGGTCGCCCAAACTGTGGCCCAAGAGGACTGCAAACGTGACGCCGATTAGCGGGCCAGCCCCGCCCGCGGGGGACTGGTCGGCGGTGTGTTCGGGCACCCGGGAGGAATTCAGCAAATTGCACGCTGATTTTGGAAAGGAAGTCAAGGACCTGATTGCGGATTGGTCAAGAAGCGGACGAGCGGGCCCAGTGGCATTCCAGGAAAACTTAATCGATTTGAGTAGTTTTGAGTAAATTGGTCCATTTTCCAAATCTCATTTCAAAAAAATGTGCTTTCAATGCAGTATTACCAATCCATAACATGAAATTTAAATCAAGAATTTTTTAAAATCATGTTTGTTTGGACACTTCAACCCCAAATCTGGATGGAGAAGCCCCAAAGTCCAAAGAAAATTGCCTCGTTCTCCTTGCCGAGGGCGCTGAGCGACGGCCCGAGCCGAGATGCGTTTCTTGTTTCCGTAGCGAACGTTCAAAGATGTGAAACATGAATGGCCGAACGATAAACACAAAATACAATTCCATAAGTGAAAGTAAAGAATGTTTACCTTTGATCTGGGGTTTGGGACTTTTTTTGTTTCCTGAAAGCCCCCGTTCTCGCAGAGGACCATCTAAAGGAACTCTTATCTTGATTCTCCGTGTCTTCATCCTCAGAGGAGGTTTGTTCCTGAAGCTTTTTGACTTGGAGCTGAAGTTTCTGAGCAATTTTCTGTCTCTCCTACTTAGTGACGGGACGAACAAGACTGGAGCGTCAGCGTACGAACAACTTTCAAATATAAATGACTGACATTAATAGCAACGATGTTAGTTTGCGCAACAAAGCAAGCAAGTGGTTTGCTCCAAAACAATTTGCGTAGTTGTTTTGACGTCTTTAGGTTGGGACTATTTACAAATACACAAGTTGTTAAAAGGGGAAGAGAACGGGCAAAGCGGGCCCAGTCGTAAGAAGTCATCAAATTTTAGACGGAAGCTCAAATGGTTGAGAAAGAGAATGGCGACGGCGTTGGGGTGGGGGTGGGGTGAGGATAGCTATTTCGGTGTGTCCAGCTGTCTTGTTTTTATGGTCTTTCTCTCTGTCTCTCTCTTTTCACCTTCACCATGCTCCAAGTGAGCGGCCTCTCTGCCGGTGACCTTCAGCCAACGCTTCAGGCACCGCTCGCGTCATTTACGGCGCTTAAAACCGAACCGAATCCAGTTCAACGTGAAGCTATGCACCCGGTGAAGACGTACTTTGAGGACAAGTCAGTCCAAGAGGTCGTGTGGGTTCACTTTGGACTCGCCATGCTTGTCTTAGCTGCGCGTTGGTATGATTGACGGCTCCCAGTCCAGCTCCTATATGGCGTGATGTGGGTGGGCCTCTTTTTGTGCTCTTTAAAAGCGACTATTTGAGGCACGCCGCCCAAATTAGTGCAACCGCAAAAAGTGCTCGTCGGTGGTTGGAAACTCTTTTGGGATGGGGGTCCTTCCGGCCATTCTGCAACATGTAAAGTGCAATATCACATGAATTGCTTGAAAACATGAGTTCCAATTGCGAGAGACATATTCCATGCTTCGTGTACGGTACTTGTTGACATTTCTCAGTGACATCACTGGCTTCATCGGTCGCGTGCCATCCCTGGCGCTGGACCAAAGTCTATCGGCCAACTGTTTTCAAATTTCATGGCTGTTTATAAATCCTCCAGGGTTCTACTACTCATCTGTCTACCCCGCCACAGATCAACTCTATCCCAGAGACAGGTGATGATACTTGGATATGCGGGGTGCATTAGCCACTTAGGACTTGGTATCAATCCATGGCCTCTCATCTTTTTGTTCCGATGAAAGTTGACCCCGTGTGTGACTTCGGTCATACTAGTCCACACATGTCGCCAAAGTCCCGGGCTGTGTGTTGGCATTGAATTCACCTCATTCCAAGACTCCTGATGCCCATTTTGGAACACGGGTTACCCGATATGGGCCCCACCACCTCCTCGCTCCGCCCCCTTTTCTCTTACTTTCCCCTTAGCTCTGTTTTCCTGCCAAACCTGATGGTGTGGCTAAAGTTAGCCCCCCACAGGCCGGTATATAAGGTCCAAAGGGTCCTCTTGCTGACATGTCAGTCACGTCGTCTTGGCGCGGGCTTCTCTTCTTGACCAACAGCAACCCAACAAACGTGAGAGATGGTAAGGTTTGGCCTGTTCCCCACATCATAGACTGCATGTAGTCCTTCGACTTTATCCCTCTCATCATCCATTTTCAAAAGCGCGTATCCTGACTGGGCTCGCGGCTGAGATGACGCGTATCCCAGTTGACTTTGGCCAAGAGCCGGCGTGTACCTTAGATCAAATGCAGGGCAACTAACACTTTGGATTTGACTCAGCCCTAAATTCAGACATGCAGGAGTTATCATGCAGATGAAGATGGATGTTTTTTTTTTGAGTTTGTTTTTGCAGTAATCTTAGATATTTGATATCAGTTTTTTGTTACCTTGTATTTGTGGCATACCGCATGTCATGACAATAAAGTGTGTTTTACCTTGTATCCTAGGCACCCAAGAAGGCCAAGAGGAGGCAGCAGCAGGGTGAGGGCGGATCCTCCAACGTCTTTTCCATGTTTGAGCAGAGCCAGATCCAGGAATACAAGGAGGTAGGTAACCTTCGCCCCCATCTCACGCAAAGCAGCACCACATGAACAGCGCATGTAAAACTGATGACTCTGGAGGTCAAGGGGGTGGTTGTGGTGATGGTGGTGGTGGTGGGGCCTCCTGTGTGACCCCACTGGAATGCTGCCCAACAGATGGTGGGATTAACAGTCAATAGAAGCGGGAACAGTCCCATTGGGGAACAGTAACCTGGATGATGAAACAAGCTGAATAGAATGTCAAGAAGTAAGCGGTTGGCACAATATGATTAGTCAGTGGGCCCAAAGATCCAAATGAGACAAAACAAAGTATCATGTATAGTTCGTCACTGCTGTAAGTGGGCTGTGTCATAAAGGATGTCCCAATACATTTCAAATGGGCCTACTTTTACCCCTATTCTCAAATATTTTAATTTAGCTGCTCCATGCCAAAACTAAACGTCTTATCAGTTAAATTTAGAAAAGACATGATGTGTTCAGTTTTATGACATAAAAGGTGGGTGACGGCTGTCATGGATACCGCCTGCCTGAATGTTGCCAAGGGCTTGTCCTGCATTCCGCAACCATTTTAACACCTTGGGAACACAAGTGGCCCACCAGCTGCCAAGTCCGCAACGGTTTCCACTGGCATCATCTTTGGTTTCACCGTGTGTGTGTGCGTGCGCGCGCAAAGAGAGACGGGCAACATTTACAAGTTGATGTTGGCAAGCCATGCGCGTGATTAGGAGAGCGGGCTTTTGACATAGCTGTCATGTCAATGGCAGGCTTTCACCATCATCGACCAGAACCGAGACGGAATCATCAGCAAGGACGACCTGAGGGACGTGCTGGCCACCATGGGCCAACTCAACGTGAAGAATGAGGAGCTGGAGGCCATGGTGAAGGAGGCCAGCGGCCCCATCAACTTCACCGTCTTCCTCACCATGTTCGGCGAGAAGCTGAAGGGTCCGTTTGACGAGCGGCTCGCGTTCGCCGCATCCGTTTTCTACCGCGTAGGCCTTGCCCTCATTAGGGTGACGAATAACGCGGAACAATTTTGAGTCATGATCGAAATGAATATTTTTTTGACCTTAATAATACCATTGTGATCTTTTTTTTTTTTTTTTCAAGGCCCTCTTCCCATGTATGTTTGAACAAACGCAAGCAATAAATTCTAAAATAAGGAACAAACTTTTGCTCATTTAGGTGCTGATCCCGAGGACGTTATCGTGAGCGCTTTCAAGGTCCTGGACCCCGAGGCCACCGGCTCCATCAAGAAGGAATTGTAAGATCCCGGAGTTTTCATTGTTGTTCAATCCTCCGTCTTAGAACAACATAACCTGATGTGTATTTGCATCCGCTTTACTTCTCCAGCCTCGAGGAGCTCCTGACCACACAATGTGACAGGTTCACTGCCGAGGAGGTGAGCTCAGTCGTGCTTATTGACACTTTGTAACAGTGAGTGGGTCGAGTTTCTCAAGCAGGGCCGGCCAAACTTTTTCCACTGAGGCCTACAGGCAGAAAAACGGAAGGGAGATGGGCCCTTATGTAGACAGTACACCAAAATGTGTATTATTTAGCCTCTGCAAAGAATGACTAGTTTGACTGCAATTTATTGAGCAGCTGAGACTGCCTCCATGTCAAAATTACACCGCCCTCAGGTGGCCAAGACGCGCATAACTTTTTTATTGTCACTCTTTAGTGTTTTTATAAAATACATAATGGAATGTTAACCATGTTAAAAAAAATGTTTGCTTGTGTTTTTTGAGTGACTGGAACAGATTAACGGCTTTGACTCTGTCTTATGTTTGATGAGTATTTTCATCTTAGTCATGACGGTGGCGTAAGAAGTTTTTGAATCACTGACCGAGTTATTTTTCCAACAAAATGAACAACCTCTTTCATTTCATCTCCATCCAGATGACCAACCTGTGGGCTGCTTTCCCCCCTGATGTGGCTGGCAATGTGGACTACAAGAACATCTGTTACGTCATCACACACGGAGAAGAAAAGGAAGAGTAAACCCGCCTCTCTGCAAAACAAACAAACAAACAAACAAAAAACCCTTCACCACACTTCCACGCCGAACCGTACCAACCCGCTCCAACGCCGCTCACACGTATCCCTCGGCCCGCTCAGTTCCGCTTGCCAGCAGACTCAAGAAAAGACTTGTCTCCTTTGTTGAGACACTCACGGTGAGATGACCTGAATGAGGCTTGACTCTCCATTCTGTCTGTGCGTGTTAAGACCAACAGTGCTTGCATCACACCTGCATTATGCATTTGCAGTCCAGTGTACATGGCGGTCTTATAAAATCTCTCTTGGGTGCTGTGGTGCAGGCACAGCCACTTACTTGAAACAAGTAAGCCATCTGACCCACTTGGTCTGTTTGTCTAAACCTCGCATAGATTTTTAACGGAGTCGTCCTCTTTTGTGGGGACGGAGCGGGAGTTTTGCACTAAAATAGTCTGCTTCCACCCGCCTCTTTCTCCCGGAGGACAGGTCATGTTGCAGGGATGACAGAGCTGCCGGAAGATGACGAGGGAAGAAGGAAAGAAAGAAAAGTCAAACTGACTTCTTTCTTCTTCTCCCTCCTCTTGCTGCTGTTTCCAACCTGTTGTTGTGACTGACCATGTCTCCATTGTAACAAAATAAGAAGTATCAATAAAAGCAACAGTCTTTCGTACCGTACTGTGTCTTTTTGGTTTGATTTGGGGGAGGGAGGGTGTCGCATGGAAAAGCTTACAGTAGATCTATGCTCACACACAGAGTGCCATATGCCTGCAGTCAACAACAAATTATATAGTTCACTTAACTGGTCTGAAAATGATATTTGTTTCCATCTATCAATGCCAGCAAGTCATTCATCGAAAGGCAGAGTAATCGTATGCTCTTCCACTAGATGGCAGCAGATATACCCCAGACCTCACGTTTGTGACGGTTTTTTTTTTTTTGGGTTGTACTTTTTGTTTTCCAAAGTAAAACGTGCACTGGATCAATAACAGCGCATTGAGGGATTTTGGTGGGGACAAGTGCCCTGTTTCTGTGGTGTCAGTCATTGAGTCACGTGATGTATACGAAGAAACGAAGAACCAAAACACGCTTTGTCTCTTCAAAGTAAAACAATTCCGCCGCTTACTAGGTTTCAAAAACGCCTGTAGAGTAAAACACTATGAATATGTGTGCATACTTTCAGAGTAAGTATGAAATTAGATCAACGACAGAACCACGTCATTACAAGATAAGCAACAGACGAACGAAAACCTTTACTTTGAAAACAATAACCAGAAGGGAGAGTTACACGTGGTTTTTGACGTGTTTTCAATGCCGGGGATGGTGGGGAGGGCTACCTTTTGACTGGCGGTTACCGGACGAGACCATCATCACTTCAAATCCACTTGGTCACCACACGCATGAAAATGGCAGCATGGTAATGTGGAGCGTGGACTCCGGAATTCCTCGATGCCGCTGTCGCCCCACCGTGCCTTCGTGAGTGTCACCGCCGCGCCGAGACCCTCCACCACCATGGCATCGCCGCTGCCCCCACGCCTCACATCTGTCAGAACGGCTTCGGTGGTAATGGTGGTTATCGTCGTGGTGCTCCTGATGTCGGCGTCCACCGCGGAGGGCTCCCAGGGCGACAAAGAGCCGGTGTACCGGGATTGCGTGAAGCAATGTGTCCAAAGCAACTGCACCGGAGCTCAGTTATGGTGGTACCAGACAGTCCAGCCGCAGTACATGGCGCTGACAGGTGAGCTGTGACGTTGTTGTTGTTGTTGTTGTTGTTGTTGTTGTTGTTGTTGTTGTTGTTGTTGTTGTTGCTGTCGTCGTCGCCGCTAGTTGTTTTTGTGTTTGGTTTTTAATCCAACTCATGTCATACTACTGTAGCTCAATTAATCGCCGAGGCCCAACAGAAAAAAATCAGGCACTGGGGGCACATATTCAATGGATACCTGCATCGGTAGATTCACTTATTCGCAGATTTTTTGGGGATATTCTTGCAAATATCTTTTTAATGTAACAATACCTGCAGCAGGCATATATTCTTTGACATTTGCCCAAACTAACTGTGCTTCTTACGGAGTCACTTAGATGTGAAACTCTTCATTTTGTATCTTTATGACGGTTATACTGCCGTCTTGTGGCCAAGGTCTGAAAGGCATTGATGGCATTTCAATTCATTTGAATGGGGAAAGATTATTTGAGCGACAAATGTATTGTGTTGTTTCCCAAATGAGGTATTTAGGCTTACTATACTCCAATGAGGCAAGCAATTGAATGAATGAATCATGCAATTTGGACTTTAACAAGTGGAAATGACTGTTGAACTCAGTGGCCATTGAACTGGGCCGTCCCTTCCAATCCACTGCAATAGGATTTCTTGGCCTAATGGTGTTGCTACACGAGTTAAAAGCAGGTTTTTCTTGTTTCGCTAGGTGCCATGTAGGTGGTGTATTGGAGCATGAATACCTACCTGTCTGGTTTCATCGTAATTTTTGTTGATGTTGTCTGTTGCGAGGTACATTGCCACCGAGGTTAAGCGATCAATCCCAATTTCTGATTTCACGAATGACGCAACAACCGACAAAGTATTTCCACATGTATTTTACTGTCAACAAAGGTTTTTACTTTTATCTCATTTCTGCCCTCAACTGTTGTTCCCATTTGTCTTGTCAGGATGGACTTGTCGTGACGACTGTCGCTATGAGTGCATGTGGACCACTGTGGGTCTTTACCAGGCTGGAGGCTACAATGTTCCACAGTTCCACGGCAAGGTTCAAAATCTTTCGTGATTAAGCCGGGACACAAGCTATGTTCGGGATAACTAGTAACTCTGTGTATTGAGTTGGCCATTTTGTACCTTATGGATTATCCCATTGAGTAGCCTCAAGGTATCCTACGATGCATCTTGAAAGGAGCAAAGGGGGGGAAAAAAAAATCCCATACCATAGGAAATATTGTCAATGCAATTAATGTGTTCCATACAAATGAGAGAAAACATAGTTCACAATGTTAGCTTTTATTAGGAATTCAAGGCAGCAAAAAAAAAAAAAAAAAAAAAACTTAGGTTGGAGCAACATCAATTTATTAATATCCTGTAAAAAAAAAAGAGGCCTTCAAAATAAAAGCACAGCCGTATAATAACAGGCCCATATACCAGAACCATTTGCTGAGGATGAACATCCATCGATTCCGGTAAATGGTTGAATTCTTCCAAACATAGCCACAACGGGTGTCTAACGTTGGCATTCTGACACATTTCTTTTGTAATGTGTGTTTTAGTGGCCGTTTACACGCTTCCTGTGCTTCGAGGAGCCGGCGTCCGCCCTCGCCTCTCTCCTCAATGGCCTGGCGTGCCTTCTCATGCTGCTGCGCTACCGGAGCACCGTGCCACGCCAGAGCCCCATGTTCCACACCATTAACGCCTTCTCTCTGGTCTCACAAGTTGACGCTGTCGTAGAAAATGTAGCAGAGAAAGCTGTCTTTTGGATTCAAAATGGATGGCGGTGTGTGTGTGTGTGTGTGTGTGTGTGTGTGTGTGTGTGTGTGTGTTTGTGTGTGTGTGCGTGCTTGTGTGTTTGCAGGTGTCGCTCAACGCCTGGTTCTGGTCCACAGTGTTTCACACCCGTGACACCTTCCTCACTGAGGTAATGTGTCATAATGCGATGGGGATTTGTGAAAAAATAATGCAGGGGTGCCTTCACTTTGGACTTGAAATTTTTGTGACTATGCTTCAATCATATTTCCCGATTAAAAGGAATACAAATGCCGTTACTTGGTTCCAGCCTTCCAAAAAGACCAACAAAATATGTTGTAACTTAAAAAAAAAAAAATATATATATATATATATATATATATATATATATATATATATTAGAAAAATATCACTTAATAGTATTGTGCTTTGTAAAAACAGTCAGGTTTTTTGCAGATGATAAAGAATATATGTCTTTGTGTATTGTCTGCCTACATGTGTTGCTGGTTACTCAAAGGCTTATTTGTAACGACTGCAATATCAACTTTAGTTACAGTCACCCGTAGTTGGTTTGTCATCTTGAGTTGTGTGTTAGCATTAAATGTTGCGAGTCAAGACACCAGACACGTCAGCACGAAAAATCGCATAAGTCAAGACAGCGTTTTACGTCCTCTTCCAAAGGTGCAGTTCAGAGAGGTCAAGTCAAATTTCTTTGTGTTCTCTTGCAGAAAATGGACTATTTCTGTGCTACTGCAGTCATTCTCTACTCCATTTACTTATGCTGTGTGAGGTAATTACCATAATCAGCAGTGGAATATATGTTGATTTCCCAAGTCACCTCATTTGGACCCCGCAAAAAAACATGTAAAGAACAACCTGTTAGTGAAAAGTACAGCAGTGACTTTTCTGCTCATACTTTTTTTTTCCCCGAGAGCTTTTCTCTGTTTGTGACACAGTATCTTTTTGTACTTTCTTTTGTTTTTTTTGAGCAGGACGTTGGGCCTGAAGCACCCTTGGGTGTCCAGCATCGTGGGGGTGCTGCTCATCTTGGCCTTCACGTCGCACATCTCCTACTTGACCTTCGTCAGGTTCGACTATGGCTACAACATGGCTGCCAACGCCTGCTTTGGTATGACAAACGCTCGGCCAGAGGGGATAACCGGTGGGCGCTTGGGAAGCGCTTCACGGATATCGGCCAAATAGGAATTCCATTTTGCTTCTTGTTTGAAGGCATGGTGAACCTGCTGTGGTGGCTTTGCTGGTGCTGGAGCAACCGGCGGACGCTGCCGTACTGGTGGAAGTGTGGCCTGGTGGTAGTGCTCATGCACGCCCTGGCCCTGCTGGAGCTGTTGGACTTCCCGCCTTATCTGTGGGTCCTGGACGCGCACGCCATTTGGCACCTGAGCACCGTCCCCGTGCACTTCCTTTTCTACAGGTGGGTCCGCCTCCTTGAAAGGTTTTGTTTTGACTCAGCTGAAGTCTTGAAAGAAATTATTTTCATCTTAAACGAGTATGCGACCTCCCATCCAGTTTCCTGATCGACGACAGCCTCTACTTGCTGAACACCGAGAAGCTGGGCGTCAAAGTGGAGTAGGGGCGGAGTCCCGTTGTCCGACGGCACCGGATCTCTCCAATCGCGGCCGATGAAGCCCCCGACGTAGAAGTAGACCCGCCTCCCGCCTGACCTGCATGACACCTTCCATCAGGCACATCAGTTTACATTGTTTTATTGGAATTATTTATTTCCTTTTTAGTTGCCTTATTAATCATGTTGAAAAACAGGGTGAAAGTGAAATAGTTAAAGATTTGAGAATCGACATTCTTTTTCGTCCATTGAAGAATTTCTTTCCCCAAGTCTGAGTTCAGCACAAATGCAGTTTATGCTTCCCTTTGATAGGGGGCGCCAACATCCCCTGTGTCGAAAGTGGCAGAGTGGTGCCCCCCCCGCCGTTTGGTGGATTGTTCTAGAAAGAATGGGAGGAGGTTATTGTTTGTTTTTGCTGACTGGTATATTTTTCTTTTTTATTTTGTGCCTCTGTTGGCTCCTTTGCTGCTTTTGTTCATCTTTTATTTTTTTAATCTATCACCCACTTCCTTAATTCTTATTTTTTTTAATTACTTTATGGTGCTTTATTTTTTTTAATCACTCTAGAGTGGGATGTGCTTGACGTGCATCATGAAACTGAGATATTTTATTCACCTGGATTGCCTTTTTAGCGTGAGGAACCAATGAGAAGCATTTCTGAAAGTACAGTATTGAGTAATGATCCTGTTGGCCTTTGTATGGATTTCAACGCTGCAGTTGAATGGCACATAAACCCCCAAAATGCACCCATGTGGAAACTGGGGCTGGAAAATTTCCCCCTCCCCCATTCCCGCTCCCCCCTCAATATTGCGATTTAATATGCGATTCTTTTTTTAAGGTTGTCATCCCATTATTATTATTTTTTAATCTAACCCAAACCCCCCAAAAATTGTATCCCCCCCCCCCATTAAAAAAAAGGAACCATGAATTGAAAGAGGTTGAAAGATGTTCACTACAACACCTTTGTAAAATTTGACCAAACAGGTATGGCTCAAACATAAGTCAGTAAGTCATCAGGAAAATTACAAAACACCGGGGAATCCGTGGCTTTGCAATGTTGGTTTTGAATTTAATTCTTCTTCTTCCGGTATTAACATTCTGGCATCATCTCTGCCTCATACTTGTAAATGAGCACATTGCCCTCCGAGCTGTCGTCATACCATGTATGTGGTCAGTGCATTGCTTTTCCTATCTTCCTTTGTCAACATACTATGCCCCTTTTCATTGCCACCAATGCGTCAGTTCACCTCACACCGTTCTCACACAGAAAGCACATTAAAAAAAATGAATAAATAAAAATATTCTTTGTTGATAAAGGAGGACGCTCACTTGTATGGTTTTGTTGTGTCGAAAATACACTTGTATCACACAGTTTTGCATCGCCGGCTCCATTCACGAAGGCTTCAGCGTAGCTAAGACGTGTGTTTCTATCTGTCAGGAAGTGACTTCACAACTGTTGGCTGATAGATCTGTGCACTAGCTTTGGACTCTGACCCGGGCTCCTGTGGGTGGGGACACTGGGGGGCACAGAAGGATGAATGGACTTTATTCTTCTTCCTGCTGTTCCTGATTTGCGGCTATGGAGTGAAGGTCATGAGAAAAAGTGAAAGGAAAGGGGTTGGTGAATAATTTGTCTCCATGTGACGTCTGCGGCTCTTAAACATCAGCAGGAAGCAGAACGTTAATTGAGCACAAGTACAATGGTGTCTTTTAGGGGAGAAATGAGCCAAAGCACATTTGTGGTGTTCCTTTACATGATATTCATTGGAAATAATCTAATATATTCTATTTTGGTAGTGCTACACTAAAGTATACCTTCGTTACTGCCCACGAGTAAATGCAGGCAACATCTGTGGGCCCCCAAACATTTTTAAAATGTCCTTTTGTTTTAAAACGGGTATTTTTTTAAGTCTTGTTAAGTGTTGGTATTTTTATGGGGAATTTGCGCCCCCTTCGGGACGGGACATCAATGACGTCAATATGGCATATATGAATAATTCTTGGAAAAGAAGAGTTTTCAAGCTGTTTCTTGCCTCCTCAATATGAAGTTTACTGTAAAACTAAACACTAAATAAAGAGAATTATGCATTGTGTATTTAAAACAACCACATACCTTTGCCATAAAGTCTGCTGGCTTCGTGCTGACGCCATAGACGGACTAAAAAAATTGTTTACTCCTAAAATCTTCATCTATGTGGGAGTTATAACACAAACTTGCCACAACACATGTAGACAGACAACATAACGACACTCCCAGGAATATATTCTTTAATATTATTTGTAGGATTTATTAGTCGAATAACGACGCTTAACTGCTCCTTACAGAGGGGCTTACGTACGGTATGTATATATTGTACTGCCCCCAGGTGGCCAATGTGTGCACACCAAAATGAGCGGCATGAACTGAAGCAAAAAAAAAAAAAAACTGGCAACAAACTAACTTCTTTGAGTTCTTCTCTTGTATTCTGTTTTATTTATGGTAATACTCAGGGGGGCGGAAAGGGGGACTGAAACGATTTCATCATTCATTCATCCAGCAGAGGGTTAAGTCATCAGAAGTCTGAAGTGGGTTGTCGGGCCACTCCCCTGTCAGGCCTTCATGGGAGCGCGCCTCCGTGTCGACCGCGCGCAGACACGCTTTACTCTCAACAGGCACGAAATTCCACAGAGGAAGTCCGAGATTGTGTGAGGGGCGAGAAATCAGGAAGCAATCCCGGCGAGTTGCCTCAACGTGGATGAGAAAAGCCTGAACGGAAAGAGCGGACGTCAGGAGTATGGACTAGCGTCGCCCCGGGACAGTCCGCAGATGGAGGCGGTGAGAAGTTTGCTCTTGCTCGGGGCCGTGCTGCTCCGAGGGTCGGGCTCGCTGGCCAGGGAAGGTAGGTGACTTTTCAGCACCAAACGGCACCCGCGAACCCAAGTCCACTCCCCGTTTAGTGTGCGGAGAACAGAATCCACGGAATTCCGTACGTTTGAAACTTTTGAATTAGTCTAAATGTGACAGCTTTCAAAGTATCGCGCTGAGAATCACACCTGTCGCCCCCAAAAGTTGCTTTCCCACAACTCCCAACTCTAATAACTTCCAAAAAAGGCGTTTCTACTTTACATACCGCATCTACGCACAAACAGCGCGAGGAGTAGTTAAAAAAAAAAAAAAAAAAAAAGAAAAAAAAAGTTCAGGTGAAGAAATATGAGAACCTGCTTTGCAACTTGTGGCGTGTGCAGCCAGCCAACCAACCAACCAGCCAGGCTGCCAGGCGGCTAGTTAGCCAGTTAGCCGTGAATGTAAACAACAATAACAACAACAAGAGGTGCATTGTGCAACCGAGGATCATTGCGATGTCAATTATTCACCAGCAGTTCCAAAACAGGAGGACGTTGTCTGATTAGAGAGCCACTTGTCTTGTCTGCTGCCTCTCTCCCTGCAGGCTGCCTGAGTGCATGCCAGTGTGCGAGACACACTGGGCACGCTTTCAATGCACACGTCCAACTGTTTAAGTTTCTTTACTTTTTTTGTTGTTGTTGTACGGTTTGCTGTTCTCTCGAACAAGGAGCCAAACAGCAAAATTCACTAGTTGTAGTCTCCGTTGCAAACTGCCAATACACTTTTTTTTTGGTGACATTCTAAACTCCGTGGCCACTGAATGTATCATGTCAACATTTACTTCGCGTGTTTCCATGGGCTTTTAACGTGATATCATTGTCAGGATTTCGAATGCATTGGCTCCCGTTTGACTGTGCAGGGGTTCCTAATGAAGTGTCCCGTTGCAGGGTCAGATTGGCCAACGGGCGCAGACGTTTTTTTTGTTTTGAGGTCAGCATATGAAGATCAATATGACTGAAATCCCTGTTTTAGAAGGGGTCAATACGACCATGAATAGCACCGATTCATCCCGGACGTGCCCTTGTTTGCGTTCTGTTTGTGAGTAAAACGAGTCATGTAATTCCACAGCTGAGCAGGAATCATTTGGAAGGGCCATTATGGTACACAACGTACCGTGACGCAGCCGCTTGTCACAGGTAAACAAATCCGCATTGTTGGCGGGAACAGGTCGGTGCACTTTTGCGCCTTAGTGTCAATCAATATTAAGCATCAGTTTAGCATGAGTGCTGACAACTGGAATACGTGCATTGCACACGACATTGGCAGCACTTGCAGAGACCAGATAAAGAGAGCTGTATCGAAAACATTCACACTTCCCAAAAACACTTGTATCTCAAGTCGTTGTTCCCCACTGATTTGAATGCAAATGTCAATAATTTGTTCCAGCCCCTAAAAAAAAACACAAACAAAAAAAGTTGGGAATGTGTTTATTCATAAGAAAAGTAGTACGCTACTGTACCGGTTAGGAATTTTGAAAAATAACCTACAAGCAGGTTTTTTTTCCCCCAATTCAATATCGTGATGGCGATTTCATATGCGCTAAGTTATTTTTTTCAACATATTGTTGAACAAATACAAGTGATAAATTCATCAGCATTTTTTTTTTTTTTTTATATGGAGTGAGTTTTCCAGCTGTCGTATTGGCTCTCCTTGGATTGTGCAAGTGTACCCGAACGGGGGTTGCGCAGCTTCAGGAGCTTCACCGTCGCTGAAACGAATGCGCAGCGAAGCGGATTAGTTCAGCTGAAACTGAACACAGTTTCAGGATCAGCCGGGCCAGCTGTGACTCACCAGTCTAGACGCTGGCGTGAGTGATCTAACTCATTCTGCAGCTGAGAAAGGGGCCATGACATGAGTAGCCTTGGACGGAACCTTTGCACCCGCTGCTGACCCGGGTTCACAAAGTCACACGCGGTGCATCTTTAGCAGTTGTCATGCATTGAAATATTTATGTGGATGATGACACCGAGGAAGCCAATTTTTTGTCGAGTTTTGGATGCATGGGTCTGACAGCTGTTTTTGGGTGCGGAATGCAAAACTGATCTCAGTATGTTTTTTTTTTTTCCACAAACAAATTGGCATGCAGCTGCAACTGAATCCAATCGTAATCAGCTCTTCTTAATGCAGCTAGTCAGTGAAATTTTGTTGAAAAAAAAAACTTGCCGTGCTAGAAAAAAAAAAAATCTGATTCCTCTTTTGGAATCGGCATGCCAATCTAACTCAACAGGATTTTTTTTTTTTCCAAATGATTCCCCAGTGTGATTTATCGCGGTCAAAAAAAAACAAAAAACGAAAGTCGAAACGAAAGTCCGCTTATCTTAAAGCTAACAAACAATGGTAACAATGCTAGCAAACAAATGTTTATCACCATTTGAGGACGCATAGGTGGGATGAGCACAAATTGAGCATCCCTGTCTCATCTCTCTACTTCCATATCTACAATCCATCCATTTTGAAGCCAACCACAGCTGCTCCCACACAAAGTGACGGCAGTCACCGTGTAGTGTTGCGGCAGAAAGCCTGCCGTGTTTGTGATGCTAATCTCAACGCGACAGCCAGTGAGGACTACACGTACGTCGCCACAGTGCTGCTCAGATCCTGTTCATCTTGTCTGTTGAGCAACACTTGATCCCCACGCCACTGGGGTTTTTTTTTTCTTTCTTGCTCGATGGCAGACTGAAGCAAGAAAAAAAATGTCTTCGGGTAGTTTAGGTCAAATCTATGCGTGCCAAAGGACGATGGTGTCCGTTGTGAAGTCGAATCAACTTCAGAGAAACTCCTGTTCTGTTTGGGGAGCTTTCAAGGGATCAGGTCCAGTAATCCGAGCAGCCAGATGATCTGATCTTTGTTGACTTTTCCCCGACGCGTTACGATGCCGCAGTTTCCACCTGGCCGCCGCCGTCGCGTGTTTGTGACCGCACGCGCGGGTTAACACAATGGTAAACACATTATCAATCATACTTGTAAACAAACAACCATGCTCCTGTTGCGTGCACTGGCTCGCCGCCACACGAAAGGTGCGGCCTCGACCTCGATTTCCAGTGTACTGGTGAACAATTTCCGTCTGAGGTTAAGGTTCTGATATTTATCACCACTTACAAGGAAAGCCATGAGTGGATTTGTTTGCTTGGATACTTGGGACGCAACTTTGGGTACACCGACATTTTGTTCCCATAGAAATACTCAAAACCTTACACAGCATATTTCAGGCTCAGAGAACATTCCGTAAAATGTTTCTCAATGTGACCAATTTCAGATATTAACATTGTGGCGGAGCAAAATGAATTAGCGCCGCGTCTCCCCCTTTTTATGCTGACACCCCCAGATGGTTACTCAAGCAGGTCCAAATTTTCGGACGCGATTCTGCGGATCATTGACGTGTCACCGAGCGACTGTGTCATTTTCAAAATATGTGGATACTGACATTCCTCTGAAATGAGTTTGGAAACCCCAGTGACGACGAGCCGAGGGACAGGTGGCAGCAGTAAAATTGAATGGGGGAGGGAGGGGTGCAAATAGATAATGTCTTAAGCTTCAGAGCGGCTTGGTCGATGGTCAAGGGTAGGCAGACCGCCACAATGCATTGTACGCACACTCGGCCGTTGCTCGGAGACATTTGAAGAGCAAACAATTCAAGAGGAAGCTGAACACAAACAGTAGAAACAAACAATGCTCTCCTTTGCCAAACATACTTTTTTTTTTTTTTTTTAAACGGATCCCCGTTACTCGGCCATCGAAGCCATTTTTAGCCCGTTGTGTTACAATAGCTATAGAAAGAGGTGCAAGTTGTGCACTTCTTGCGTTCCGCACGATGACCTCTGCGACTTTGAGTGTGTGTGGCTTTAAAATTCGGGGCTTAGCCCGGCGAGTGATGTGGGAGTCACTGAATGAGAGCGTGGAGTTGGCTGTCGTCAGCTCACGTTAGCGGCTCGCCGGTAAGGCCGGCGAGGTCGTCTGGCATGGTCGTCACTTGTGTTGAAAAATGATCACTGCGACGCTTTGAGCTCGAGATTGTATCATCGAATGATTGAGGTCATTCAATATTCATAGAAATAATAGACGAAGCCCTAATCGTAGCATGAAATAATGAACTTGCAAAGTAGCATTGTTTGTCAAAAGCCGCTGTTTGTTATTTACGATCCATCTGTCTCATTGTGACTCAATTTGTCCGTTTGTCAAGTCAAAGCATTCGCGATGATGTCAGCGCTCAAGCAGCGAGGCATCGGAATCGACACCTGACACAAGCTGTGACGGCTGGGTGTGTATTTTTGGCAGACTCGCGTTGCGCCATTTGCTGTCAAGCGAGTGGCCGGGTTCCCGTCAGGTTTCAAAGGGACCATCCTGGCACCACATTTAAACCCGGCGACTCGGTCCCCGTGTGGCATTAAAACCATGTCTGCCGAAGGAGGGACACTGATTTGACAAGGGGCGGGCAGGGGGGGGGGGGGGCTACAGCAGGAAAAGTGCTCGACTGTCGAGGGGCTGTTGGCAGCATGCCAGAGGAAGTCATTTATAACCTCAAGAAGGAAAAGAAGAGGAGGGCCAATTCACTGTATGACTGATTGCTGAAGCATGGGAGCTATGTGTGCATGCGTGAGCCCCCACTGTGGATTGCAGCGTTGTATGACCCCCGAACGTAGTGGCCCACTCTGGGGGGAAAAAATAGATCTTGCCGCGGTTTGTATTTCACTCTCCAACCGCGCCATCTTCACTTTCTCACATAAAAATGAATACATGAACTCGAAAGACAGACGAGACTCGAGGGAAAGTTAACAAATGAATGCGGTGCTTCGCAAAGTACTCCCTCTGGTGGTACGCGAAAGAATTCATGCCTGGGTAGAGTTTAGTTGTATTTCACTTTGGAGTTCAATGCGTTCAATTTTGAAGAACTGCTTGTTTGATTTTATTTTTTTTTTTTTGTAACATTGGCTGAGGTAGAGTTTTTATGTCTATGTCAACAATGACTGTCAAGTCAGATTTATTGATATGCAATTTTTTTACCCCTGCTTTACCTGTTGTGGCACTTGCCACTTTCTAACGGCGATGCGCGTGCACTGACAGCTGACAACAAGACACTCTGAAGTGACCACGTCGGTGTATTTTTTTTCTGGAGAACATCAAATTTTCGGAATAACAGGAAAAATAATACTGCTAAAATAACAATCATATATCTTTACGTGCCTTGCAGTGTGCCTTGGCACGGACATGAAGCTGGCCCTGCCCTCTAGCTTGGAAAACCACTACGAGACCTTGAGGCTTCTTTACACCGGCTGCCAGGTCGTCCACGGCAACCTGGAGATCACGCACCTTCACGGAAACCCGGACCTCTCCTTCCTACAGGTGTTTACTTTTTTCATCCCCTTGGAGAGCAAGAGGAGGAACAGAATGTGAAAGTCTGAAAAAGTATCAGAGGGAATAGTCAGTGACTCTGACGTTAGCTCGTCTTATGCATTGGATATTTTGACCAAACCTCGAGGAACCCCCTTGAAAGGTTGCATGTGTCTCGGTAGCACATCACGGTCACGTTTGATGTTGTCGTTTGACAGGGGATTGTGGAGGTGCAAGGCTATGTGCTCGTGGCTCACGTCTCAGTGAGTTTAGTGCCTCTGGACAACCTCCGGATTATCCGAGGCAGCCAGCTGTACAATTCCAGCTATGCCCTGGTGGTGCAGGACAACACTCGGGATGCCCGGGGCGGACTCCGGACGCTTCGTCTTCGGAGCCTAACAGGTTGGAGAACCCGAGCTGAATCTCACCCGTTTCATCAAGTCATTGAAAAAGGCTTTCTGAGCTCCTGTCGTGACGACTCGCCCCACAGAGATCCTTTTGGGCGGGGTCTATATTTGGGGAAACCCGCAGCTTTGCTTCCCGGATCCCCAGAACATCGTGTGGAGGGACACCTTGGATGAGCAGAACGTCCACGCCGGGCCACACCGACTGCAGCCCCGAGCGTCCGACTGTGAGCACTCGATCGAACGATCCGGCGCCTTCCTTCGTGGCCCGCCAGATGAGTTGATAGTTGGCTTTTTTTTTTGCTTCTCTGAGCCAGGTCCCAGTTGCTCAGCGGCGTGCCGGAACAGCTGTTGGGGAGAAACTGCGCAGGATTGCCAAACCCGTGGGTGACGTTCACACTGTCGCTCATTTCATCACCAGTATGCGACTTAAATGTCCCCCCCCCCCTACAGTGACGCGCATCAGCTGCGCGTCAGGCTGCCAGCGCTGCAAAGGCCCTCTGCCCAACGACTGCTGTCACATGCAGTGCGCCGCCGGATGCACGGGACCCAAAGACTCCGACTGTCTGGTAAATTGCACATTCGGATTCTTCATTCGACGGCAATGAATGAAAAAATGTTTTATTTTTTCCTTTCCCGATCTTAGTTTCAGTGACTTTGCTAATTTTCAATCACAGTCACAGAGCGTCTTTCGCCGTCTTCCCTGCAGGCGTGCCGCCACTTCAACGACAGCGGCGTGTGTAAGGACAACTGCCCGCCGCCCACCATCTACGACCCGGTCACCTTTCAGACCAAGCCCAACCCGGACAAAAAGTTCAACTTTGGGGCCACCTGCGTCAAGACGTGTCCATGTGAGAAGAGACTTTGGAAGCGATGATGAATCCGGGAAGTGAGCCGCTTATCGCCGCCGGTGACTAACAATCCTCCTCGTCGTTAGATAATTATCTGGCTATGGATGTCGCCTGCACGCTAATTTGCCCCAAAGCCAACCAGGAGGTCATCATCTCCAATCCCGACGGCGACGAGACGCAAAAATGTGAAAAGTGTGAAGGGGATTGTCCGAAAGGTGCGTGCTTTGGCCTCAACGGCGTCTTCAACAAATGTTTGGATTCCTGAGAATTCAGCGCCGAGTTCCGCTTCACGTCTTTCAAGATAAACGGGGGGATGGGGGAGGGGGGGGGGTTGCTAATCATTTTGCCCATGCCGTGTTGTGACTTTAATTCCCAGTGTGTTATGGCCTGGGGATGGACAACCTTGGCGTCATGGACAACCACGCCGTCGCCATGGTAACCTCCTCTAACGTGGAACAATTCAGTGCTTGTAAGAAGATTTTTGGGAGTCTGGCCTTTCTCCCTCAGAGCTTCATTGTGTAAGTTATTTTTTTTTAAACGACAATATTATAGAGAGGCGCGACGCAAATCGCACTCATGCGATAAAATCCCATTGAGAACTTTCTTCCAATTAGTGAGTCTAAATTGTTGGTGGCCATTCTGAAGTAGCGCTGCTGAGATATGTCTCTTCTGGCTCTCTAGGGACCCCGCGACCAACACATCTGGCCTGACTCTCGAGCAACTGAGGGCCTTCAAGAACCTGGAGGAGATTACGGGTACAGCGCCTTTCAAAATAAAGCAAACGGTTTCCGATAGAAGCCATTTCCATTTGTCCGCCGACAATCTGTCCTGCCTGCCGTGTGTCTCATCGGTGGCCGTAACGTTTCAGGTTATTTGTACATCGATGCCTGGCCAGAAGACTGGAGCGACCTGTCGGTGTTTGAGAACCTGCAGGTGATCCGAGGCAGGATGCTCTACAAGTGAGACTTTGTGATTAATACGCAGATTTTGTCAGAGCTCATCGAGCTGCACTTTGGCAAACAAATGACGCCTCGTGATGGCACCAATGGCAAAAATGAGCAAGGGGGCAAATTAAAACAAGTCAAGTAATGAAAAGGGCGATGGATCGTGTTCATTCACTTTTTTATTTTATTTATGATTTTTTTTTTTTTTTTTAATCCCACAGTTTCTGTTTCCGTTGAAACGCTTTCAGGGTTATAAAAGCTAATGATTAGCCAGGCCAGCTGCTTTAACTGGCGACGCGCGGCAGCCGGGACAAATGTAGCAGTCAGCGTGCACAAGGACGAGCACGACGTGTTCAAACTAGGTCAACGGCGCGTGTAAATAATTAGCAAGTAAGATCCGCAAAGATTTTGTGGCTTTTTGCCTTTGTTTTCTTTGAGCGTAATTGTCACGTTTGACCGTGTCTGGAAATGTTTGCGTTCAAACTGCATTTAAATACGCGACGGTTTTTATGAATGGGAATGAGACGGTCGAGTTGTGGCTCTCTTTTGTCAGGGGAGTGTTTTCCTTGGCCGTTCAGAACCTTGGCATCCGTTCCCTCGGACTGCGTTCGCTCCACAGCATCAGCGGCGGTTTGATCCTGTTGCACAACAACTCCCAGCTATGCTACACCGATTCGTTGCCCTGGAGCGGCCTCCTCCATCCCACCCAAGGGCCCCACTACATCGTCAACCACAACCAAGAGCCCCGAGTCTGCGGTGGGTCAACGCGTTTGTCTCGCGCCGCGGCACGGCTCGCGCGAGAACGGCGCCGTCACAAAGGGGCGTTCTTGTTTTTCAGAGGCGCAGCGGCACGTTTGTCACCCGCTGTGCGAGGGCGGCTGTTGGGGGCCGGGGCCCGGCCAGTGCGTGTCCTGCAAGACTTTCCGGCGCGGCACCGAATGCGTTGAGCGGTGTGACCTCCACCAGGGGTGAGCTTCCTTTGCGTTTGTCTGGCCGCCGTCTCGTGAAGGAGAATCGGACCCACACTCCCTCTCGCCTCGGCGCACGTTGATTTCAAGTGAATTTTTAGCCCAGGTCCCCTTTCTTGCTTGTTTGTTGTGACGGCAGATGACACCGCGAATCATTATTTGTCTTGCAGCCCCGTACGTGAATACACCGATGGATTCTTGTGCGTGGCCTGTCACGCGGAGTGTCGCCCCCTCAATGGCTCCGTCACCTGCCACGGCCGGGTAAGAGGCCCCGGGCAGATTTAGAACGACGGAAGAGCTCAGCGGAGACCGACTTCCTGTACAGTGGCGAAAGGGAAATAATAGTAAGAGGCACGCTTTACGCGTGCGCGCGCGTGTGTGTGCGCAGGGTGCCGACCAGTGCGCCGAGTGCCAGAACTTCCAGGATGGCGAGTCGTGCGTGGAGCACTGCCCCAGCGGAGTCAAGGAGGACCAGCAGACGGTGTGGAAGTACAGCAACGCCACCGGGCACTGTCTGCCGTGCAACACCAACTGCACCCTGTCGTGAGTGGGCACGCACGCACGCACGCACGCACGCGCACACAAACGTGTGGAGTGAACAAAGCGAAGGCATCCGTCTTGACACTGTTCACTTCTTCTCTCAGCTGCACTCAAATGGATGAGAGAGGCTGTCCGATCCATCCCAAGACAGGGTAAGGTCATTTCAACGCGTGAAGAGAAATTTCGGAGTTTCTTCATGCCTTCTTTCTCAAACGGCATGCAAAAACCCGAGGTTCCCTGCAGATAAACGTGAAGGTCCGAGACAATGCTGAAAATGCAATCATAACTAAAGGACGGCTTTTTTTTTTTTTTTTTTCTCTCTCGGTGTTAGACCGGGCACGACGATCGCGGCCGCCGTGGGTGGCGTGGTGCTCTTCTTCATCCTCTTCGCTCTGCTCGTCTTCTACCTGAGGAGACAAAAGAAGCTGAAAAAGAAGGAGACCTTGAGGAGGATCCTGCAGGAACACGAGGTGGGCGCCGGCCGCCAGCGCCGACCTCGTCGGTTACGCGCGGGAGCCGAGCGCTCTCGGCGAGTGTGTCATTTTTTTTCCTTCCGCAGTTGGTGGAACCGTTGACGCCCAGCGGGGCCTCGCCCAACCAGGCTCAGATGCGCATCCTCAAGGAAACGGAGTTGAAAAAGCTGCGGGTGCTTGGCGCCGGAGCTTTTGGGACCGTTTACAAGGGCGTGTGGACTCCCGACGGAGAAAACGTGAAGATACCGGTGGCCATCAAGGTTTTACGGGAGAACACCTCGCCGAAAGCCAATAAAGAGATCCTCGACGTGAGTCTTTTGGGGGGCTTGATTGACCCATTTGAGGAAAATGCGCTCCAAAATGCTTTCAAAGCACAAAAGAAACGCCGGGCCCTTTGTCGATCCGGCCCGCCGTCGTTTCCAGGAAGCCTACGTGATGGCAGGGGTGGCCAGTCCTTACGTGTGTCGCCTGCTGGGGATTTGTTTGACCTCCACGGTGCAGCTGGTCACTCAGCTCATGCCGTACGGCTGCCTCCTCGACTACGTCCGGGAGAACAAGGATTGCATCGGCTCCCAGTTCCTCCTCAACTGGTGTGTCCAGATCGCCAAGGTGCGTCTCGTCGCGATTGGCGCCGGTGTGATTTGATCGATTGAATGTGTAAATTTTCAATGGTGTCGATGTAGGGGATGAACTACCTGGAGGAGGTGCGCCTCGTGCACAGAGATTTGGCGGCCCGCAACGTCCTGGTGAAAAACCCCAACCACGTGAAGATCACAGACTTCGGCTTGGCGCGCTTGCTCGACATCGACGAGACCGAATATCACGCCGATGGCGGGAAGGTAACGAACGTCGCACCACCCGGGCGTTGTGGCTGTTTTTCGTTCCGCTTATATGCCCGCCATACCTTCGCTTGTAGGTTCCGATTAAATGGATGGCACTCGAGTCCATCCTCCACAGGAAGTTCACACATCAAAGTGACGTTTGGAGCTATGGTGAGTGTTATTCGGCGCCCATCCAAACTGTTGGTGTTGTTGCATTGTGGCTTCCTCGTTTTCCCGCCTCAGGAGTGACAGTGTGGGAGCTGATGACGTTCGGCGCCAAACCCTACGACATGATCCCGGCCAGAGACATCCCCGATGTGCTGGAAGGCGGCGAGCGCCTCCCGCAGCCCCTCATTTGCACCATCGACGTCTACATGATCATGGTCAAATGTTAGTTTTGTTTTTGCTAGCCTGACGAAAGAAAGGAGCCGGCCGCATAACACCGTGTCGAATGAATATGACCGCAACGCCTGCTCCTTTTTAGTCGTGTGAGCGAGCGATGGCAATGTGCTCGGATGAATCATCTCGCGTGTCTTTCTGAACGGAAGGTTGGATGATCGACCCGGACAGCCGCCCCAGATTTAAAGATCTGGTGAATGATTTTTCCACCATGGCCAGGGACCCACCTCGCTATGTCGTCATTCAGGTGAGCGCGGGGAAGGATTGCGCGCAACCGACAAGACGTGGCTATTGACTAAAAGGAACGTCTGCGTGTCTTGTTGCGTTCGTTGGCAGAACGACGAGCAGATGAGCATGTCCAGCCCGGTGGACAGCCAGTTCTTCCGGATGCTTCTGGAGGAGGACGGCAACAATATGAGGGAGCTGCTGGATGCCGAGAAGTATCTGGTGCCTCAACCCAACCTCTATCCCAGGGCTCAGGGAGACGGGGCCGAGTCCAACGGGCCGTCCAGGCATCAGTCATACCGGGTCGGTGCCGTACCGACTCGACATAGATTTGATTGTCGAGGGGAAGCGAAGCGTCGACGCTGGAGTTCCTCACTCTCTGGTGTCCTTTTCTTTGTCTGATGGTGTGCAGAGCAGAGAGCAGGGCCTCGACGCGGAGCCCCCCGTGGCTGCGGCGGCCCCTCGCAGCTCGTACTCCTCCCTGAGCACCCTGGGGCGCAGTCAGTACCCCACCCTACCAGCGGGAGCCGGCGCCTCCAACGGTACGTGGACCCCCCACTACCCGACGCTGGCCCGCAGCCCCTCCGCCGGCGGCCGGTCCGACTCGGTCTTCCTGGACGCGGCCCCGGATGACGCCGCGCTGCCCCCGGCCAGCCCCGGGCGCTACTGCAAGGACCCCACCTACGGGAGTCAGGGCGAGCTGGAGACGGACGGGCCCAACGGATTCCTTCATCCTCCTCCTCATCTTCATCACTCGCTGCCCAGGAGAAGTCACGTCTATCATCACAACCACGTCGTCTTGCCAGGTGGGCGCCACTTTCAATTTCAATTCAGCCCGATTTTTTTTTTTGGTTTCAAAATGCCCCCCCCCCCCAAACAACAAAAAACAAAACAAAGTGTTTAGAACCGCCTGTATTAAGAGCTGAAGCTGTAAAGTTACCACCCGTTACCACCTCCTTCACACCAATTGCTACTTTCCTATTTGCGAGGGCTTTGGCACAGTCTTGTTGCGTCTTAGAATGAGCACAAACCCGCCTAAAAAAACAAAAACGACTTCCCAAAGTCTTTCTCAAAGGGCGAAGAGCCATGAGAGGATGCAATCAACAAAACAATGAGCTGAATAAGCAGTTTAAAAAGTGGAATGGAACGTGCCCCCCCGCCGCTTACCTTTGTGGCTGACCAGTTCCTTCAACACAAAAGCATTCCCGCCATCCATTTGTAACATTTGTTGTAAAAGACAAAAAAAAAATAGGGGGAGACAAAACACCGCTCAGACAATTGAAGAGCGTTAATCGATTGGGATGATCATGTGTACCAATAAGTGATAACATGAGGACACGGCAATCGTATCGATCTGTGCCCTGTTCAGAGTACGTCAATCAGGACGTCCACGAGCCCAGGCCGGAGCGACCCAACACCCTCCCTCGGAAAATCTCCAAAGTGGACAGGCGCCTCCCAAACGGCTTGACGTCGGGCCACAGCGTGGAGAGCCCCAGGTACTTGGTCGCCTCCACCTCTCCCGCCTTTGACAACCCCTACTACCTGGACCTGGTGGCCAAAGCAAGAGCCGTCGCCGGGGCGACGACGGCGGCGGCGGACGGCCCCGCGGAACCGGAGCGGGACGTTCCCAGACAAATCAACGGCTTTGTCACTCCCACGGCGGAGAATCCGGAATACCTTGGACTGGCGGACACCTGGAGCGGGTATACATGAACCTGGAGGAGGCTTTGCCAGGTGGCAGCTTGCGACGGAAGTCGGTGACAATATTTATGGCGCTGGGGCGTGCACCGAGATTGCGCAAGCCAGCGTCGAACCAAATTAGAAGGTCATGACGCAGCGTGACTCATCGCATTCATCCGGTGTTCCCGGGGACGTTTATGTTCCTCTTAGCTGTCCGACCTTTCTGGAAAACAAGTTTACTCAGCTGTGAATAATTCACCGTCCAGGAACAACTGAGGACTTTTTCATCCAATCTCACTGGACTGGACGATTGAATGATTTTTTTTTTTTTTTCTCCAGGGTGTTTTTTTCCGGATCAAATCGAGCCAGACGTGGCAAGGTTGTGATCAGACTTGGTCTCCTGCAATTTCTCTTTCTGATCGGCAATACCGCAATTGCGGAACGTGGCAATTTTCAGTTTTTAAAGCCTGAAATTACACGTCACCAAATATGATATGCAGGAAAAATTAGGTTTTGTTTTGTTTTGTTTTTTTTTCTTCATCGCGAAAACGGTTGACTTTCCACCCGCCACGCACTGAGGACGACGATTAGTATTCTGCTAACCGTATTCAAAAAGCTGGCGGGGGGTTTTTTTTTTCCATGCGCTCAAAGAGATTTTGTGGCGCTCAGAGGGGTCCCTGTGCTGCCCATCTGGCCGGGCTTGCCGCTCGCCCGAAAGAAAGAGGCGCTGTTTGTTGAAGACGGAGGCGTTGTGCCACACTGGCGTGTGTCTGCAGCTTCTTTGTCATACTACCAATGACTTAAAAAAAAAAAAAAGTGAACTCTTCAGGGATTTTGCTACACTGCAAAAATTTGCATATTCTCAATGCACTGCTAATTTGCCTCCCGTGCTTGTACTTTAAAGCATCCCCCCCCCTCCCCCCACCCCCAACTTTTGCTGAGCCACGGCACATATTTTAAATTCGAATCTGACAGCACTCAAGTTCTTATTTAGTGCGGGATGAGGAACTCACTGGATGCCGTTTTAGGGCCGCTGGTGACTATATTGCGAAGAATTAACACACACGCTCATGCGTTAAATGTAGCTGCAGGCTGAAGTCGTTCTTTGGTGCCTGTTGACACCGAAGCTGCACGCATTCCCGCCGCTCGCTCGGCGTTCTCGGGGCAGGGCTCAAATTCCTCCCGGCGCACAATGGCATCCCAGTTAATAATCCACTGCCCTTCTGCCCTCGTGGCGAGAGGGAGGTCAAAGGCACTCAATGGACACATTGTCCCACCTCCGCGTCCATCTTGAGGAGGCAACCGTGTCCTCAAGTTTGATTTTTCACGCTCATTTAGATCCAAATCCGCTCAAATACATTGCCGCGACATCATGTACACCATCGAAGAAAATCTCTGAAACTGGCTGCCCAAAAATTTAGCTTAGTCAAATGCGTACATTCTGGTACGGCGTTTTAAAATTGAGCCATTTTCTACAATCAGGTTGCCGTATTATAATGCCCGGCAGACGTTGTTTTTAATCCATTGTAAACTTCTAACTTGAAACGTTTTAAAAGATAAACCTCTGTGAAATCAGCTTTTTTTTTTTTCTACAGTCGTTTTAAAAAAATCATGTGTGCGTATGGACGCACACAGTGAACCGGTTCTGTATAATTCCTCTAACAAAAGGCAGCCTCTCACTTAAGCTCTTTTTAAATGTAGTTTTGGCTTGAAAACACTTTGCATTATTATACTAACGCTATTTTCGAGTGTTTTCCTTTATGTCTTGAAAAACGATGGCCCAAATTCAAAAATCTAGCTAATTTCAAACAAGGAAAAATATGTACATAATTCTTCAAATAGAATTAACTTCGTGTAGAGGTTGCCCCAAATGTAAATTCTGTATGTGTTATTGTGATATATATTTTTGTGATCAGTCGACTGTGGAGAAAATCTATAAGCGCACACAATACTTAGTGAAGAAAAGAATCAGTTGTACATGGATTTGTTTGCATATTGTGTGTGTTTAAGGAATAAAAAAAACAATGTGGACTTAGATCATTTCTGTAGGTGTGACTTTGCACTTTTAGCTAAGAAGTAAACTTCTGGACGTCAACAACAACAACAACTATTCCTGCCATCTAGTGCTTGTATGTGGAGCTGCAGTAGATTGTCGTTTTTAAAATTCAAATTAATTGATCAAGCTTTTTCAAGTGACTTTGGCAAATCGTTTTTTTCCCCTGTAATTCAGATCTCAGATTGTGCAAGTGTACTTCACGTGTGGCCACCGAGGGTATTTAAAATACACACCTGGGTAGATTTACATTTGTATTGCTTTCCTTGTCGATAAGCAAGCTCATGCATTGTCATTTAAATATCCACAAAATAAGGATCGGGGGAACAATTTGACCACAAATCATTTGAAAAAAATACACACATGATTCTCATTTTTCTGTTTAATATCATTCCCATGTGGACGTCTGCGTAAGCGAATGGAGCACACTTTCACTGGAAACACAATGTCCTTTACCTTATCGATTCGAAAGAAAGCGTGCTCCATTTGCTCACCCAACCGTCAAGTGATGACATTGTTTATTTGTCATTTTTTTTTTTGTGTGTGTGTGTGTGTGTGTGTGTGTGCACATCATCATGTACCTCATGGTGACAAATGGCTGTGTTGTGCGAATGTGATACATACGTAATTTGCTGTACTTTGGAATTTCAGTATCTTACAGTGTAAAAAAAAAAAATGTCACATTTTCCATGGCAGTTACTTCCGGCATCTCATCCAGAGCCGACTGAATTTGCCAAGATTGTGTAAATGGCACACGGGCATGATCGCAGAGCCCAGCGTGGAAGTCACAGTGACCGGCAGTCCGATGGTGCATATGAAGCGGCGTTGATCGGACACCAGCAAGAGGCCGAACCCGAAAAGAACCACCGGGGGAAGGTAGGAGACGGCCGCCAACACCAAGCTGTTGGTGAGCACGTGAACGGCTCTCCGCTTCTGCGGGTGCACGCCTTTGCCGCTCCCGCCCGGCGCGATCAGCGCGCGCAGGATGAACGCGTCGCAGATGCCGATGACGGCCATGGCGGCGGCGAAGAACGACGTGGAGAACAAGGTGAAGTACAACGTGTGGAAGCAAAAGTAAAGCCCGCCCGTGATCAAAGTCACGATCCAGACCGCGACCACGCCGACCGCCCGGGGAGTCAGACTCTTCATCCTGCGGTAGAAAATGGGGTGTACCACCGCCACGTAGAAATCCAGGCAGATGCACGCCATCAGGAGGGGTCGTCCGCATACGTTGAAGGCGTAAGTCACGTTGGAGAAGGCTTCCACCAACCAGATATTAAATTTGACCTGATTCATGATGCAAATTGGCAGGAAGAGTAAGAAGACGCCGTCCATGGATGACAGGTTTGACACGTACAGATTCGAGGAGGTGAACGCGGCTCCGCTTCTGTACGCCTTGAAAATCTCCCGCATGACGAGGAAACTTGCGGGAAGTCCCACCGCGCAGCAAATCAACGACGAAATGGCCCAGATGTACAGCCCGGTCTCCATGCCCTCGCAGTACTCCAAAAGGGGGACGTCGCCGTAACCTGGAAGGCCCGAGGAGTTGTCGGCCATCCTCCGAGCAGCTGTGTCACGACAAGACTAGATCCAACAACCGGTAATGTTTACGACCACCTGTACGAGGATCTCACACCTTCCATCCGCTTGATATAATTTGCAAATCCCTGGCCAAGCGCAAGCACGTATTCATGCAAAAGTGCAGGAGACCTGAGCCACGTATGCATTTGTGTGTGTGTGTGTGATGAAAGCCAAACAAATGCACCCAATGCAATGACAACGGCTCGCTTCATTTCAATCCTATTTGGAAGATTTTCCACTCGGTCGATCCGATTTCAGCAGCTGTGTGTTCAGCCAGCTCCAGCTCATGTGCGCACGGTCTTTGCGATCGGTCGCGCAGGTTGATGGAGTTTAGATTGCTTCAGTGGCGATCGTAGTGGGTGTCACGTAGAACCACATACTGCATGAGGAGAGATCAATAAAGTCTTGTGGACCGGGTGGAGGTGCGGATAGAATTGTCCGGAAAGCCTCAGGGTCAGAGTTGCACTTGAGCCTATCCTAGGGAAGCAACCTGAACCCCAACTTTTGAAAAGTTCAGACCAAAGTGATCCTCTTTGTAAAAAAAAAAAAAACAATCGAGAACGATTTGTCATTCCCCCCCCCTTTTTTTTTTTCATGAACTGAAAATGTACATTTTATTTGTTTCTCAATTGTTTCTCAGTGGCAACCGGCTGTCTCAAATATTTCCTGCTCACATTTAACAAAATGGCCGACTCATTTTTTGACTTGTTACCAAATCATCAATTATTGTCTTCTCATTTAATCCATTTAATCTATCCATTCTCCACCGGGGTTGGGTCGCGGGGGCAACGGCTTTAGCAGGGAAGCCCAGACTTCCCTCTCCCCAACCACTTCTTCCAGCTCTTCCCGGGGGGGATCCCAAAGTGATCCCGGACCAGCCGAGAGACATGGCCTCTCCCGCGTGTCCTCTAATCCCTATTCGATACCAGGAAGTACTGGGTCTGAGAGGTGTTTGTGGGTCTCAGGCAATCCTGAGGTCAAGTTCAGGTTGTCCGGCAGCGAGGGGTAACGGAGAGAGGGGCACACCCCGGGGTGTGTGCCTTGTGGCCGTTGCGCGGTCGAACTGTGATGAGTTTCCGTTTCGGGGGTGCCGCTGGCCGCCAACTGCTGGGACTTCTCTGTGAATTTCGTATCTGAGTGGGTGGAACTCTAGAGTCGCCCGGATGAAAAAGTGTGAGTACTTTTGCCACCTCTGGAAAAACGACGGAGTTGACTGGTGACTGTTAAGCATACCGGACAGGGTGACGGGCTGTCTCTCTGCAAGCGGGCAATGGGGTACATTGCACGCAGCGCCGGTGCGCCGCCGCCATACAGGCCCGTCGAGTCGGTCGGAAGCGTCCGAGACGACACGGCGCTGTAAGCCGGAGGGACCGGAGCCATCTGCCGCTGGAGAAGCTGGAGGATGACGTTGATGTCAGCCGTCATGCGGGTCTCCAATCTGGCAAAGTAAAAGAGGCATCAAGTCAAGGACTGCCAAACTACAGCCGGGGCTCCAATTTTGCTCACAGAGTCATTCCCCTTTTCCTCTCCCCCCCCGTCCGGGCTCTCGAACGCACCTGTTTAGCTGCGAATGCAAAACTTCCAGTCGAGACTCCAGCTCGCTGGGCCGCTCTTCAATGAAGGGCGGTGGATGGTGGGAGTTGCGGACCGAAGACGATCGCCAGGCTCGACCGGAGAACGCTTGAGATCGTCGATCTGCCCAGTAGTGGAACATTTGTGGCACGTTGAAAGACGAGGCTGCGGACATCGGAAGTCAAACAACGGGTGGTGGTCCTTCCACTTGACTGGGGGTGCTTTTGGCCTCTCGGGGCACTTATTGGCTGACACTTGAGTCACAGGACTTGTCCCGGACCTAAATTGAAACTTGCTTGGAGAAAAGCGTACAGTGATACCTTGACGACTGTGGTCCAACACTGCTTCCCTCCCCACCAAAGTGCCACTCGGGGGTGGCAGCCGCACCTCCGAGGGGGCGAACTCCAGCCTGCCTTCTTCGGTGCCCTGAGCAAGATTTTTTGTCAAGTCCTCACCGGACCGGGAACATGGGGAACCGCAGCTCCATCTGTCTTCCCGGCGGGCTTGCGGCGGGGAGCAGCCATGCCGGCGCGACCGAAGAGGATAAGAATCCTCCTGATCCATTCCGTCTGTTGAAGGGCAATGAAATATGAAGACTTGACGCTCGCGTGAAAGGAAGTCGACCGAGAAGCCTCACCCGGTCTGATTCTGCAGTCCAGAGAGTGGATTTTGTGTCTTGACCCGTGACGGTAATCGCTGTCATCCCCCGACTCGTCGGTGAATATTGGCGCCGCTTGATCCGCCTGATCGACGGTACAAATTTGTTGTCGTCGTTCTTCCAAAAACCGCCACGGATTTCCAAACTTACATCTCTGAGGTCGAATGTCACGTCCAGGTTCCTCCAAAAGTTGTCTGCGAAGCCCGGGTACATATCGAGAACCTCCAGCAGGTCGTCTCTCAGAATGCGGTGCAGGTCGCAGTACGTGATTGTCAGCACGTCCGAACTGGACTTGCCAGGCTCGTCATAAAGGTGGATCAGCTCACCAAAGATGTCATCCTTCTCTAGAAGAGAGGTTTTCGTTCTTTTGCGCAATTCCATTCATCATCCGGAGCAGGATAGAATGAATATTTATCGAACAATGTGACCAAAAAAGACCCCTTCGATACTCCATCGAGATTCTGATTATTACATGCCGCGTTCCGCCCGATCTCGCCAAGTTGCCGATGGGTGCGCTTTACCTAGTATGGCAACCACCACGTCATCCCTGATGACCCGGATGGAACCCCGCGAAATGAAGAAGAGCGAGTCCAGGACGTCGCCGCAGTGGATGAGCGCGTCGCCGGGCGGCGCGTGGACCGTCTTGAACCTCATGGTCAAGGCCCGCAGGCAGGCCTGGCTGCCCCCGCGGAAAGCCTCGCACGTCTGCAGCAGAGATCGGTTCAAGTGCAAACAGATGTCCGCTTGCAAGGACTCCGGGAACCCCTTCAAGACCTGCGCGGGAGAGGACGACCGTGAAGCGGACGTCGGCGGCCCCTCAGGTAATTGGGCCGCGCGGCCTTTCCGCAACCTCCAGCAAACAAACCGAAGCGGCACCGCGTTCGAGCGTGGAACTCACAGCATTCATGTCGATGCCGTTTGTGTAGGACCACGCGTGTTGGAAGTATTCCTCCAGTCGCTGACGCAGGCTGACCGGGATTTGGTGGAAGCGAATGAACTCTTTGACACGAAGCATCTGAGTGTGGTAGCGGGTCGTGCCGGAGTACAGCCGCTGGATGATGGCCGACACGTTCCCGAAAATGCTTGCGTACATAAGAGCTGTGAGGGAGGAAGCGAGACACGGTAAGCACGTAAGTCTGTTCATAATTGGTTCATTCAAGCAGCGTTTCCCAACCTGGCTGTCCACTCATTTCCAGGTGCGATTATAATTTAATGTCATATCTTATGACAGATAAAGAAAATGATTTCCTGATCAATTCAGTGACATTGGCACAGTGGTTGGGAGTCGCCACATTTCAAAAAAAAAAAAAGAAAAGATGTACTCACAGCCAATGACCATGACACAGATGGAGAAGATCTTCTCCGAGTTGGTGTTGGGAGAGACATTCCCAAAGCCAACGCTTGTCAGACTGCTCAAGGTGAAGTACAGAGCCGTCACGTATTTGTCTTTGACAGACGGGCCGGAGCCGGAGTCGTCGTCGTCGTACGTCTTGCCGAGTTGCTCGGCCAGATTGTCCAGCCAACCCGTCTCCGTGTAGGGCCGCTCCACGAAGCCGATGGCGTACCAGATGCAGGCCAGCCAGTGGGCGATGAGCACAAAAGTGCACATGAGCAGGAAGAGAACGGCGGCTCCGTACTCGGAATAGCGGTCCAGCTTCCTCGCCACGCGGACCAAGCGCAGCAAGCGAGCCGTTTTCAGCAGACTTGTCAAGGTCACCATCTGGGGAAAGGAAGCGACAGATGATTCGGGGACGACGGCCGGAGGAGAACTGCACCGCCGGGAAAAAAATGACTTTTGCATCGCTCAAAATTCTCTTCCTTTTCAGTGGCGGCGACGGCTCTAACCTCGTCCGAGCCGGACCGAAAAATGAGAAGGTCGAAGGGGATGGCCGCAAACAGATCGATCAGGAACCACCCTTGGACGTAGTGCTTGGCGATCCGTCCGGGCTGCGTCACCACCTCGTCGTTGCGGTCCACGTAGGTGGTGCGCAGATTGATGACGATGTCCACGATGAACAGCACGTCCACCATCAGGTCGGCCACGTTGAGCGGGTCGCACGTGTAGCCGCAGATCCTCTGACGCGCGTCGCCGCGCTCGTCCAAGAGGAACGTGGCAGAGTACGGCGTGAACACCGCCGTGTAGAGGACCAGCAGGAGAATGATCCAGTCCCAGAAGGCCTTGAAGGGGCTGTAGTGGAGCAAGATCCACCGAGTCGTCTCTGGGACTTGGAGTTTATGTTCCGGCAGCACGTCAGACTCCAGTGAAAGGACCTGGCGCAGGAAAAGAAATCATTCTTTTGACTTTTTAATGGCGCAATCGCGACAACGGGAAGGTCCAGACAAAACCAAAAGACTAAAAGACTACCTGCACCTTCATCTGGATATCATATCAACGCTATAAGTTGCAGATGTTATACTGGTGCCCTGAATCGTCTCGCTAGTGACAACAAAAAGCATACTAGGTCATGGACCATAAAAGGGAAAACAGAATCTCCTCAAAACTTTGATGAGAAGAAGGAAGTGGACCAAACAATAGCAACACGATCCCAAGATTGGCAAAAGTTGAATCGAGGTAACTGGACTTCAATTTGAACAGGACAAAACCGATGGCGACTTCCACAACCAATCAAACAAATAGAAACCTGCGGCGACTGAGTTCTCTCCTGTCCAACGCGGCATTCTTTGATTCTGTCACTTTGAGAGCGCATCCTGAAAGCCAGCGCTTGTCGGGGAGGCAAAAACAGAGATCTTCAGATTCGATCCGCATTGCGCGAGACAGTTAGAAGAAAGACATCCGGGAGCGGCGACCGGATGCCGGTGGGGAAGTCTTGGCATTCGTCTCTTTTCAAATAGGATGCGTCGAAGTTCTCGCTGCCCGAGAGCCGCGGTCGCAGCCGGCGTCCCGGAGAGGCAGTGATGCAGAATGCCGAGCCCTCGGGCGCCAACTCAATTGAGCTGCGGCTCAATGAAACGTTGCTCTTGTTTGGCAACCGGAAGGAAAGCGTACAGCCACCGAACGAACGACTGGTTTTTCCACTGGCGCTCCAATCAACGGGCGTCATGAACAGTGTACTTTCAAAAAAAAAAAGAAATGCGGTAACCTGAACCTGCAAAATCCCTTTCCGCCCCACTCCTACCTGGGTGACCTTCTCTGTGACGTTCGGGGAGCGATCCTTCACCTTGGAGGGGCTGAGAAGCTCCATCCCGGGAGCCGCCGGGAGGGATCGGCATTCGGGGGGGCCCCTGCCGGCCGGCCCCCCGCACTTCATCGGGTTCGAGTCGGACATCTACGGCGAGACGAGTACTCCTCACATCAACAATTTGGCTTGATGGAAATGTCAGCGTGGGACCTTCCTCTCTGGCACGGCCCGTGACGTTTGGCCCGCAGCTCGCATGTCTTCGTCAAGCGCTGGAAAAGCGATCGATGCCACGTTGCAACCCCGGTGGAAGTGAGGGGAAAATCAATGGCTGTCACTGGTCAACACAGAAATCAAGCCGGAGGCCTGTCACAACGGACTTCCCCTCTTTGACATATGACGTCGCATTCTTTCATGCATCCTTGACGTAGTCGCTGCCGCGTAGTTGTCAGCTTAAATGGACCAGATGACGTCGCTGCAAGAACTGGGGTACGATTTCAGAGACACCCAAACATGGGAATCAACCATCATTATGAGAGCTCTTGTTACCCGCATCATATTCGGTTGTTCTTTTCAGTGTAACCCTGGCACCTGGGAAAAAAAATATGGCCGAGTAAGTCCTTTAAAACGAGTCACATTTCATTGCGATAATAAGATGGTCAGGAAAAGTGTCCTTTACACACCTAGTTTTCCGTCTTTTGTGTATGTCGAAATCTGACCTGGTAGTCCAACATCCCTCCAATTCCAGAATGACCCGTAACGTACACAAAGTGTTCAATATGGTGCCATGCGTCGCACTAATGTGTCATCCTATTGACCGCGGCGTCCACACAATGACAACGCCGCGAGGAGGAAATGATCCGCGATGACATTGGTCCTTCAGTTTTGACCTTCGTTTGATCTTTATTGCTGCATTTTCAAATGTCTCCTACTTGATGATGGCCGTTGTTTCACAGCATTCCGAGTTGGGTGAAAAACACGATTCGACGAGCGATCCGACATTGGTGTCATATGAGCATTTGCTGGTTCAATGTTGAACGTGTGGTTTTTAAATCGGCTCGGCTGTGGTTTGATTTTATGTTTTTAATTGCTTGATGGACTGGATCAAATTAGTCATTGGGAACGAGTGGGCCAAGTCCATTCTTGTCACTTGGAGAGTGATTTAAAGTTCAATGGCTGCAATAAAATCTGGTGGATTTATATCTTGGTCATTTATAGGGCGATGATTATTTCGACTGCATTTTTATTTTTGAAATGTGGTTTTCCTCACGTTTTAGTTTGATGTCAGTCTACTCTATTTCATGAAAAATCTCAACACTAAATTAAACGGTGATTGAGAACGCTATTCATATGAAAGCTATGCAGTTTCTCTCAAAAAAAAAAAAAAAATGCAGTCATCCCAGTCACAGCGCTTGCTTCTCGAGCCCAAAGTTGATGAAGGAGGTTCCAGCTCAACTGTCCAAAGGCCTTTATTTACAACGCGGCATCTCTCCAGAAACCCTCTCAGCTCTGAGCCTGGATATTGTCCCAGATGCGAACCACGTCCGGACAGTCACTCAGGGCTTCGATGAGCGCGGAGGCCGCCTCTAGCTGCTCCCGGTCCAGAGGCGAGAGTGCGCGAGGGACAAATTCGGAGTCCCACAACGTCACTTTCATCCCCAGCTCCTCCAGCGACGCCCGTACCTTCCGCAGATCCGCATTGTCACAAATGAACTGGAAAAAGAGACGAACGTGAGTTTCATCGTTTTTAAATAATACTAAGCCTCAAGTGGGGTTCAAAGTAACTCATCATTTGTCTCCTGTGTGTGATGTTTGTGTTTTACCCGCAGGAGGGGCGCGTCGTCCTCCTCGTCCTCCGTCTCTTGGACATCCTGTGCTCCAGCCTCGATGGCCAGCTCCAGCGCTCGCTCGGATGTGACGTTCTGACCAGGTACCACCACCACAGCCTTCCTGCTGAAGTTGTGGCGGGCGCCCTCTGAGAGCATCCCCCTGCGGGACGACACATAAACACACCTGGTTGAGGCAGCTTGTGGAATTCATTGTCGGGTTGCGTTTACGCTACAATTCAGGTTTTCGGTTTTAGGTTCTTCCATTCGGACAAAACTAGTGCTTTGCTGCCATCTTGTGGCAGTTACAAAGCTTTTTAGCGGGATGTCGACCACATAATTGGTGATGTATGCACACGTGCATCTTCCCGAAAACAAACAAATAACACACTTTAACTACTGTATATTTCAGTTGTTTATTTATATACTTGGATCTACTTCCATGTTGTCAGTGTTCGGTGTTGATGCTTAGGATGTTATTTACATACAAATTTGCTTGTTTCACATCACTGGAAAACGACCCCCCGCCACCCCAACAAAATAAAAGAAAATAGGGATGATGATGATGATGATATCAGAATCGGGCAGTTGTCCCTGCTGTGTAAATCCTTTCTTAGTGTGGCAGGAAGATAAATGTGTTTTGGATGGAAAATCAGAGCAAAAAAGCCCGCCCGCCTGACCCGTTTCTACTGAGGACCCCTCGGATATCCTGCTGGCTCCGTGAGCTGTTATCGGTCAGGACTTCAATGAGTAGAAGGCATCCACCCGGTCCCCGAGCTTCAAATATGTGCTGCGATGCCGGCTTGGCTTTTTCCTATTGATTGGAGCACAGAAAAAAAAAGGTTCTTAATCATGCGCTGTTGTCTGATTGCATGCCCACGGCTCATTAATGTCAATGCCACATCTGCCCACGACCCTAAATGAGGATAAGTTTGTAGGAAATGGATGAATGGAACTGAATGATGAACGCACCGCATTCTTGATTGCAGCCTCTATGGATGCTTTTGGTACGTTCTTGTTTCTGCATTGCTCCAGGAGTTGGGCTAAATTGACGTTCATGTCTGGATTGGGTCCACCCTCTGCAAAGCGCAAGGAATTCTCAGATACACCCTACTTAAAAAGCTATTTATTTCATGCTCACCTTTCACAGCAACCTTGATCATCATGACAAACTTGGCTATCATTCGTCCCCTCGCCTCATCTTTAGGACCTTTAACGTGTTTGACTTTGGACCACTTGTTGTGACCCGCGCACAAGGCGGGGCTCGGGTGCACAGCCCGGACAGGAGGACTCCTCCAAACCCGCTCCGTGGGTCGCAGGGTCCGGATAGCCCCCAGCAACAAGCGCCCCGCCATGCCCTTCACGCAAACACACACAACGCTATACTGATTTTAACGTCACATGGCGGTAAAATTCCAACCAAGCGTGCTGTCAGCTTCCTTCTGCAAAATATTTCATCTAAATGAATAACGTAAGACCGCTTAGCGTTCGATACTTGACTATTTTAGACAACGTGACAATGTCCTTGTTGTGAAGCCGTCATTTTCCGGGTTGTGATGACGCGGGGAACTACGCTGTGGCTTCCGAGACTTCCGTAGTACCAAATTTACTGGGATTTGTATTGCATTGTTTTTAATGACTTCTCCCTTAAATTTATATATAATTCGTGTATTTACTCTGGACCGTAAATACGGAGTACGCCAACACACACAATAAATATTACATGTCATTCATGAAAACCCCAGTACGCGAATCCCACTTACTTCCTGGTTCTCTACCAATTAGACCCTACTCACTCTTTCAGTGACCAGCACGGTGCCTTCAAAGACCTCCGTAATTTGGGAATATTATAACGGACTGGTTTACAGGACTTTATAAGTGATTAATATCATCGTAAAGGTAGACTTTTGCTTATAATCATTATCTAGGGACCCACGCATGAAATTGAACAGGAAGTCATCCATGGTGGTTTTAAGCACCCATTGTGGTCTAATTTGAAGAATTTGGGAAATTTGCCAAAAAGGGCCCCAAATCGTAATCAGCTCTACTGAACTAAAAGGAGTTCTTCATGTCTACTGGTAGGTGTCATTTATTTGATGTTGTTGTTTTATTTTCCATTGCAATTATGACAACCAAATATGTCTTGTGTGTTATTTTACAAAAAAAAAAAAAAAAAGATGAGGCCTCCAGTAAGTGATAATCTTCCAAACAACTGCAGGAGGAGGAGGAAGCGTCCTTCCTCCCCAGTGCTTCCCCCTCTCTCTTTCTCTCCTCCCCACAAGGTAGCACGTTCCTTCTGCACTTTCCCCTTCTTGCTCTCCCTCATTATGTCCACTGAGCCATGCACAGCAACATCACAATCTGAACAATCATGATGCACGAAAGAGACCCTGAACTGTAATTCTTGTTTTTTGTTTTTTTCTTTTTTTTTAATTGACTGACACAAAAACACATTCAAGACGAAAGAGACCCTGAACTGTAATTCTTGTTTTTTGTTCTTTCTTTTTTTTAAATTGACTGACACAAAAACACATTCAAGACGATAGGAGCCCAGGTGGGATCCAGAGGAGAGTTTTGGGATGACAGTTCCGGGGAATGAGTGGACATGAGGTTTCGAGCGGAAAACCGGCCAGCTGAATTTACCACAATGACAGATGGGATGTTGCCTGGAACCGGACTTTCTCTTTTGGTTCTTCTTCACAGTGTAATAACTGTGACGGGACTGGTAAGTGCTCCTTTGTCATGTTTGGGTGATACTGATCTACTCATTGAAGATATCATAAAATGAGATACACAATTCATAATTAGCAAAAGTAACCCAAGCTCGGGCAAAAGTTATGGCTTTATTTTGTATCCTTTTGTTGAGGCTTTCAAAATAAATGGTGCCAATTTGTGGGAAACATAAGAGGATTGAATGTGAATAGTTGAAGATTTTATTGAAACACCAGCCCCAAGCAATGATTAAATAATACACGTCGAAAGACATTTGATTGTATGAATCAAACATTGTCACACAGTGACAGGTTATTGTAAGAAATACCACTCCTAACCTGAGGCCAAATATGGAAAATGTCACAGAGCAGTGTGAACTTTTTTTTCAGGACACATGGCGGGCTTTCAGCAGCACTATGAATAAATAAATAAAAATTAAAGCTATGCAAGAGTTATTTTACATATGCAGTATTTACTGTATACGTCAAAACTGATTTCTAAAATCCTTTGCCATGCAAACGTTGCGGAACCTACAATTACAAACATATCTTGTGACATAAAAAAAGTAACATTTTTCTTGTACAATAGTTTTTGAATTATATTGAAGTGACACATTCCCTCACATAAAATAAAACTTGTATTTAAAAAAAAAAAAAAGGTTATTTTGGAGGCAAAAATATTCTGATAAAATCACAAAATGCACCCTTGGATTTTTCAGATTTTTCTCTGAGGCAAAAGTTTGCACACCCCTGATCTACGCTTCCATATTTGTCAGCCTCTTAAAATAATGGCCTATGTCATATTTTGACAAAATGTATCGCTATGTCTATATTTTTTTTACTTCCCGTAGTCTCATGAATTACAAATTGTAAAATCGGCTACATCCTTTGCTTAACACATCAACTTTGGCTGTTATTTTAAGAGGGTGATGAGAAAGTTGGTGTTTCCACAGTAACGCACGCAACTTGCAGGCAGGCGTCTTCCAGGAATCACCACATGAGACTCACGACCGCTATTGCGTTTCTCAATATGTCTGTATTGACTTGGGCTGAGCGTTCCCGTTCTAAAAACAATTGATAACCGGTCAACATTTTGAGTGTAAGCCAAATTCGCCGACTGGCAGTTTATTTTAATGGGCCGCGTCACGAAATGTGTCTGTTGGGCTTCTTGACCGTTTCCTTTCTGCACAGCGGTGACGTCTAACCACGCTGGAGCCTTTGTTTGAATCCGCTCTTGAGCTATTTGGAGAAAAAATAAAGAGATTTAATGGCGACCTCTTGCTGGTGGCCGTGCGAACATCACACCCTGTGAAGCAACAAAACCTGAAATCTTAAAGGCCCCCCCCCCAGAATTTTTACTGGATTTTTATACGGGAAGTGGTAACCCGGCACAGTCGTTCTTTTGGTTTGGGGCTCCTGGTGGTTTTTCCAGCTCTGTCGTGAGTGGCGGCACAAAGGCCGTACTTGTGTGGGGCGTCGGTCAGCTCTCCCGCCATCCGACCCATCCGGCCCGGGCGGCGGGAAGCAAAGGGGTTGGCGGCGCATCATCACATACCGCGTCCTCTCTCAACTATTTCACAACACCTTGAGGCAACTCATCAAAATCCTCCGCAAGAGTTGACAGATTGCCCCGGTTGGTCAAAAAACGGTGAATGGGTTGCCATTTTTGCCGATGGGAAGTGACAACATACAAATGCCGCTTACTGTCATGTCCCGTTGAGGTTTACTGTCAAACTCAATATCAAACGAATCACATTCACCATGCAAAACGCCGTTGGTGGTTAACAAAATTAGCAATCGATGGATGAATGTGTACGCCTTTGAGCACTGGATATTTAAACACAAATGATCTTGCAACACGTGGACACAAAATATCATCAGACTCACACGCATAGATTCTTTGTCCTCTGTGAACAACATTTAATAATCAAATGTACAGTATGTGTAGTATTTCTGTTTGTACTATTTCACCCCCAAGGTATGCTTTTTAAGTTTGATTTTAGAATGCGATTAGTTTTTGTTTGTTTGTTTTTTTACACAAAGTACAACAAATAAAGTCCAAATAGTGATAACCCTAGCTTGAATGGTGCTATGTGCGGGACCCCTACTGTCCCCCCCCCCCCCACACTCCTGCACACACATGGCTCCCACCAAAAATTCCCCAAATTCCCCTTACAAACGGCAACCATTTACATGTCATGATCTCAAGGAGGAAACCATTTCAGAAATGGCGCAGCCGCACATATCGAGCATACCAGAAACCGCCTTAGGTAAAATCTCACTTGTTCACAAGCTAATGCGAGTCATGTCCGTTCTCCCGACTGGGCAGGTGGACTCCGATGATGTCATCACGCGTGACGAGCAGATCTTTGTGCTGATCGGCGCTCACGCCAAGTGTGAAAATAGCATCCAGTCACAAATGGCCCTCATGCAAGGTCTGTTTGTACGTTGTCGTTTTTCTTTTTTGAATTTCTAAATGCGTCAATTGTTTTTTTGTGATTTATAAATACATTGGAAAGACAAGAAGAGTGAAGATCGCCGAGCGCTGTTATTGCAGCCGTGATTTATGGGAGCTCTGATATGATACGAGTGACCGCCTGTCATATCCTGCAGGGAAAGCGTTTGGCTTTCACACTGTGATGCAAATGTAGATGAGTGGAAAGATGGCTTCGGCCGTTTCAATTGCAGAAAGAATCGAGAAGCTGCAGCTGAAAAAAATCGAATGTGGAAAAATAAGAAACGACTGGTCAAACAAAATTGTGCAAATATTACATGGAGATATGTATCACAATGTAACACTGGAGTGCCCGTTTTCATTGTTTTTGGGGGCAGAAGGCGACTGCGCCCCCGAGTGGGACGGCATCATCTGCTGGCCAAGGAGCAGCGCCGGTCACCTGGTGTCGGTTGGCTGTCCCGAGTACATCTACGACTTCAACCACGGAGGTACAAGTCACAGAGCGCCTTCTTATGCCAATGCACGATCGCGTGCACGAGGGAGCTTTAGCATTGCGTTGATGTCCCCGACTGTTTCCAGGTCGGGCCTACCGCCACTGCGATGCGTCTGGTAACTGGGAGCAGGTATCCGTCATCAACCGGACCTGGGCAAACTACAGCGAGTGCACCACCTACTTGTCAGCCAATTACAGGACTCAAGAAGAGGTACTATTGAATTAATATTTGAATTACTTGATAACAATGCTACTAGTGGATGACCTGTGTCGACTAGTTGGGCCAATTTTAGTGGTCTAACGGGGTTTAGGTCCTTGGCAGATTTGGCAAGCAGGACTTTTTGTGGTAGCCTTAGTTGCTTCCAATCACACTCTGTCCCATTGTCAGATAGATGGTGTTACACCGGATTCAATTATGGGGCCTCTGTTGTTTGTCCCGCGAAGCAAAAAATATGTTTTCTCCTTAACTTAACTTCCGTCTTATTTGTTTTTTTGTCCTGCAGAAGGTGTTTGAAAGACTGCACCTTATGTACACCGTTGGCTACTCCGTCTCTCTGGCGTCTCTGCTGGTGGCCGTCTTCATCCTCTGCTACTTCAAGTAAGATACAGCGGAAAAAAATATATTCATGCTTTTTAAATTAAGATTTGTCGGTTTCCCTTGAGACAGCAACAAGAGAATTCACATTTATATTCTGATGTATCAACAAATATTTTGTCCAACACTTCAGACGGCTCCACTGCACCCGCAACTACATCCACGTGCACCTCTTCACTTCCTTCATATGCCGAGCCGTCAGCATCTTTGTGAAGGATGCGGTGCTCTACTCGGTGTCCGGTGAGGGTGCAGAAGCTGAAGCCGAGCTCGTGGGACAGAAGCAACACATGGTAAAATCATGCATGGTAGCTGTATGGGGGGATTTCTGTGTCATTTGAGTTTGAATGTCTGGATTTGGATTTTTTAATTGTTTTTTTTTTTTTGGGTGGGGGGTGAGGGGGATTCAGCGTCTGTTGCCATCTAAGTATCGGAATTGGGTAATTACCAAGGCTGCCTATACCAGCCATCAATACTTTCAAGTCGTGACCCTCTTTCAAGTAAAAAACAATCAAGAACATTAAAAAAAAACAACAAAAAAAAAAACGCATCAAGTCCTATGTCAATATTGTCATAAACCGAGGACCCCATTGGGGAAAGATGATTTCACATCCAATGTTTTGAGTCATGAGTATTGTTGGGGAACCCCCGAGCCTCCAGGTGCTTAAAGATCTGACATCTCCCCGCCAGTAGGTGGCGCTACACAGTAGCGGTTCTGTTTGAGCGGCCGGGGGAATCCTCACCCTCTCTTTATGTTGGCATGCGTGTTTAGGCTGGCTGCAAAGTAGCCGTCACCTTTTTTCTATACTTCCTGGCGACCAATCATTACTGGATCTTGGTGGAGGGCCTTTACCTACACAGTCTCATCTTCATGGCCTTCTTCTCTGACAAGAACTACCTGTGGGCACTCACCATCATCGGGTGGGGTAAGCTGACTCGGGCACGGAACGCAGGAGAAGCGGGTCCCATGCAGGATAGCGATTTATGGCCACCGTTCTCATTTTAGGTGTTCCGGCTTTGTTTGTGTCCATTTGGGTCAGCGTGCGGGCGTCTCTGGCAGACACGCAGTGAGTCACCGCCATTAGAATGGGGGGAATTGGAGTCAAATTTGAGATCACGTGTTTTGGTTTTTGTTTTTTTTCTAGGTGTTGGGACATCAGTGCTGGAAACCTGAAGTGGATTTATCAAGTTCCCATTCTGGCAGCCATTGTTGTAAGGAAAATGCACTCCGTGGTCACTTGATGAAGTACATCCGTACAATCCAATACTGCAACCCCGATACGAAACATTGTTAAATGCAATAGTAATCATTTGGCATGGCCAAGTACCGGTACTCGGTATCGGTATCGGGGTGAAATTGGTCTTATTTTAAGGTATCGGGACTTATGGAAGCTGCCGATACCAGCCAGCGGTACTTTAGGCAAAACTAAAAAAATAAAAATTCATGAGTTCTCCTAACTTACGTCTTTATCTGTGCTGTGCAATGTCATGCTTGTAAATTACTTGCAACATTTCAACCAACTTTGGAGCAGTGAAACATGAGCATTAAAATATTAACAAACATTTTTTTTTTAATGATCAAGTGGACGTTTTCTCCTCGCGCAGGTCAATTTCCTGCTCTTTGTCAACATCATTCGCGTGTTGGCGTCCAAATTATGGGAGACCAAAACTGGAAAACTTGATCCTCGGCAACAATACCGGTGAGAGAATCTCTCTTCCCGGGATTGACCTTCCATGAGGTCTTGACCTTTAACCCGTCCCACTCTCCGCTCCCCCAACACGTGGACCTTACCCCGAAGGAAGCTTCTCAAGTCCACACTGGTGCTCATGCCTTTGTTTGGAGTCCACTACATGGTCTTCATGGCTCTCCCTTACACCGAAGTGTCCGGGCTGCTGTGGCAGGTGCAGATGCACTACGAGATGTTCTTCAACTCATCGCAGGTCGGACAAAATCCATGGGTCACGTCTCGTGATAATGATGCGGGCGATTTGTGAATTGATTGCCCACTGTGTGGTTCCAGGGCTTTTTTGTGGCCTTCATCTACTGCTTCTGCAATGGCGAGGTAATGTTGTGAAGATGACGGTCGGGCAGCAGAGTCACAGATGCCTTAAAAGATTATGGAATGAGTTATACAAGTCACAAAAATCTGGTGTTTCGCCAGTGTTGTGTAGACTTTTAAGAGCCATTGTATGTGTTGTGACTGAGCAAGATTGGATGACTTGCAGGTGCAGGCAGAGGTGAAGAAGGCGTGGCTAAGGAGAAGCCTCGCACTGGACCTCAAACAAAAAGCCAGGATAACCAGCAGTAACGGTGGAGGCAGCTGTTACTACGGCGGCATGATGTCCCACGCCACCACCACCCACAGCGTCTGCATGTCCGCCGCCAATCACCGAGCGGTCGGCTACGGCGGGGGTGCAGGAGGGGGCGCGGGGCTCAGGCTGCCCCGCCAGGCCGCCCTCCATCCGCAAAGCAATCTGCCCAGATACACGGGCGGTGAATGCGAGAGCTCAGTGATGGCAGCAAGGAGGCCGGCGGGAGGGCCAGGGGCCGGGGGGGGCTTTGCAAGGCATGCGAGAGGTACCAAGAAACCCGATGAGCCTAAAAGTTCTCTGGCGGAGACCCTTGGAGAACGGGATCCAGATACGTCCTTGTCTGTGAAAGAGCTGGAGACTGCCTTGTAAATATCAATGGAATGTGTTCATATTGTTTGGTGTACATATATATGAAGGGAGCCCATGCCCACATACCACACTTTGAGAATCACTGAAGTCGACAATATTGACCTTAAATTACACTCGCGTGATCCAGTTTGAATGTCATATAAACGTGAACATAACTTGTGTCAATGCGATCATTCCTCCCTAACAGTCGGCTGTGGTCAGACACGTCTAGACGGTTTGGGCGCTGCAGTGCAGCCTTGTCGTTGTTCTTTGTTTATTCGTCAGTCCCAAAAGACCCACCCAGATGCCTTTGGCTCCCTCACAAAGAAGCACCCTCACCTTCTTCTGAGCCAGCCACGTTTCCACTTCATCATCTCGCAACACTGTCCTGAATTTCACACAGGTCACTTAGAACCTGACTCACACCGAAAACAGTACCCAAACTTGCACCAGCATTCACATGTATCTGTGTGTTCTATTTTTATCACCAGAACATGAAGTACATCTACATTAGGTGCATACTGTATAGGCACAATCTTGGACTCCATCTATTTTTTTGTTCCATTTATCCTGTTATGGTCATGCAGAGTTGAAGTCCAGTGTTTGTGAAATTCCTGTTCATTTGTGTCTGCGTGAGTATATTATACTGCCCCCCCCCCGTGACCAAATTGCACACACCAGAAGTACAGTAGCTGCAATGAATTAATCTTGATACATGAACTTTAACAATTATTTCCATTCTATTTAATTATGTTGATTACCATACATGTATATTTAGTATATTTAGTGCTATGTTCCTTATTAAAAAACACACTACAAAATGTTTGTTTTGTTTCCTAGGGAGCCTGGAATGGATTAATGGTAGCTCCATTCATTTCAGTGGTGAAAGATTATTTGAGTGACCATGTTTTGAGTTATGAGCATTGTTGTGGAGCCATTTAAACTTGTATCTCAAAGCACCATGCTATAGTATAAATACATATATGCATTATATAGCGTGGCACGCAGAGGTCATGGGTTTGATTCGGGGATCTGGCCTTCTTGTGTGGAGTTTGCATGTTTTGAATGTGCCTGCATGGATTCTCTCTGGGTTTCCTCCCACAATTCAAAAACATTCACGGTCGTTTAATTGATCACTCCAACTTTTCCTAAAGTGTGATTGTGAGTGTGATTTTTTTTTTTTTTTTTTTGTCTAGGTGTACTCTGCTATTGGCTGACATAGACAAAATATACAGTGGTGCTTTGAGATAAGTAATAAATGTATAATATATTCAAAATTTAAGTTAAAAAATGTAAATAAACTTTAAAAAAATTAAATTTAAATTCCAAATTTATTCGATCTCAAATTGGTTAAAAGATGCAAATAAATATATTGGGGGTGTCGCGTCATGATGACGTCGAGGATAGGGGCGGAGACACCTTGAACGAAAAGGACAGCACAGATGTCCACCAGCAGTCTGTTGGCGAGATTAAAAATCAAAACAGAGGAACGACATAGGATTCCTTTGTGCCGCTTGCATCTCGCGGCTCCTCCGAGCTTTTCCTCCGTCCTCTCTCGCCGCGGGCGTGAATGAGGCGGACCGGCGTCGGAAAGGGAGGGGTCCTTTGATCGCGGGGCTGCCGGCCAGATGGAGCCCTGCTGCGTGGCCACCATGGGTGAAGTGTCGAAGAAAGCATCCACTCGGAATGTGGCGGTGGAGAGGAAGAACCTCATCACCGTGTGCAGGTCAGTGTTACTTTACCAGACATGCTATAGTCTAAGTGTCTCGAACTGTGCCTGTATGTACGCCCCACTTTTCTGCTCTTGGTACTCAGTTCTGTCCTGACCTCAGATGACATCATCCTATTAGAAGTCAGTACAGTGACAGCTCTGTGCTGACGTACTCATATACAGAAAAGACAGCAACAAAAAAGGGGCTCGGCGTGAGTTTAGCAGTGTCATCTTCCATTTTACCCTCAGCCGGATGATGGTGTGGTTGCCATGACGACAACCTTCCCCCGGGCAAGGACCGGCTGGCACCCTGGGGAATCACCATATAAGAGGCCTGGGTGCATTTATGCACACCTTCTAGTCCATTTGGCGATCCCGTAAGTGGGGTTCAAATGAAGGGTCGAAGATCTCATCACTTATGTTTGGTCTTTTGTGTGACCTTTGAGTCTCCTTTTTGGAAATGCAATATGAGTAGCAGCAATGATTTGTTCTGTTACAGCAGGGGTCACCGACAAGGTGCACGCAGGCAGTTTTTAATAGTTTGGTTACCTTAATTAGCTCCGGAAAGGGGCTAATATGGCTCACATTGCTACCACCCCTCAACTAGAGGGCCAATAGTGAATAACTGAGTCATGAGAAGGAGTTGGAATTGTGTTTATTTTGATTCAAAGAGCCACCGAGTGATGGTCCGCTGTTTACGTTGTCTACTGAATGACACATTGATGCTTCTGGAACAATGGAGAGTTTGATCACTCTCCTCGTGGTGGGATGAATGCAAAAAATGCAAATGGGTGTTTCTTTGGAGCTCCAGCTCGCAGTTAGCCGTTCCTGAAAACGATCACGTACGCGCTCTGTGAAAACAGCACATTGCATTGTCAATATAGTTACTCATCTAATTGATCTGTCCAGTAATATGTGACTGGTCTTCTTCTGAATGCCTGCCGGAAACATTTTCCTTGAAGAGTGACTCCAGTTCAGCTTGGGTGGGGCAGTTTGAGTCCTCGGTAAATGGATGTCAAGCTGTAACTTGAATGGATTGATTAAATAAACATTTTTAAAAAATGCTTCATGTTTCTCCAGCTACGATGTACGTATGTAGGATTTAACAACATATTATTTTGTTTTTGTTTTTATTCCCTCCCTGCGCCTCCCCACAGGTTTTCAGTCAAGACCCTCTTAGAGAAATACACGGCCGAGCCCATTGATGACTCATCGGAGGAGTTCATCAACTTTGCGGCCATCCTGGAGCACATTCTCAGCCACTGTTTCAAAGGTAATCCACATTGATTTCTCTTTGTGTTGAGGATTGAATTGCCTTTGGATTTGATCACTTCGACCACACGTATTTGCCACAAGGCGCTTTCAATAATATGCCCTTTCAATGCTAACGTCCTCAAATGATTCTATTGACCTGCGCTACCATCGACATTTGACGTCTATTAATTAGCCCCATAGGCGGAATCAATCTTGGGTCTCGTCAGCGAGAGAAAGAAATTTGAACCGTTCCAAAAAATGATTTCAGGCTCTGGTCGCTGGTTCGATGGCCAGAGGAGTTTCTGGGATTTCATTCGACTGGCTTGCGCCAAACTGCCAAACAGCTGCATTAGCAGCATCGAGAGCATGGAGAACATCAGCCCCTCACGAGCAAAAGTAAGTCCGAAGATGATGTTGCCTTTTAAAAGAAGGCTTTACTTCAGACATTCGGACATGCTGGATTCACCTTGGCTGTCTTTGGTTGATCCCTTCAGGGCCGAGCCTGGATAAGAGTGGCACTGATGGAGAAGAGGCTGTCAGAATATATAGCTACTGCCCTGAGGGACTCTCGAACGACAAGGTGAGAGGCTGAACTTTTTTTTCTTTTTTTTTAATGCATTGTAAATGGCAACTCAAGCCGGTGCGTTTATTGTGTATTTGCAGACGCTTCTATGCAGAGGGAGCCATCATGCTAAGAGAAGAAGCCTCCGTCCTAACCGGGATGCTCATAGGCCTGGGAGCCATAGATTTTAGGTGACCTCCATTCCAGGCACTTTGAGCGTCAAACCCTTATCTGATCTGTGGCTTGTCTCCTTTCACAGTTTCTGTCTGAAAGGGGAAGCCTTGGATGGGAAATGCTCCGCAGTTGTGGACTACACGCCGTATTTGAAATTCACACAAAGGTACAGTAAAGAGGCATTTCAATTTTTTTTTCTCTCCAGAAAATAGTTTTGTGTTCTACAGAAAATGCGGCACGACAGAAACCGACAGAGCCTTTGCCGACAGCCTCTTGAAATATCCACACAATCGCCTTTTCATCTTGACCGTTCCTCTCTTTGTGGCAATCTGCTTCATCCTTGACAATCACGCCATGTTTTTATGATTTAACAAAACATAATGCGGTACAATGTGTGACGCACCAACCAGATACAGAAAGATTGGCAACTATAATTTTTTTGCAGTGGTCCACTTATGTCGCATTTGTCGCTCGGCACGCGGCAGGCCGAATAGTTTGTGATGAAAGCTAGACGCCAAAATACACGCCTCTTTCTGTCCCAGCTACGACTACGTGAGTGACGACGACGACGAGCGGCAGAGCGTCGACAGCAGCACGAGTGACGACAGCATCCCCGAGCATCCTTACGTGCCTCTGGTCACAGACGAGGAGAGCTGGAGCACAAAGTGTCGCAAGATGGAGCAAAGGTTCAAGATCGTTCACGCGCAGAAGGTCGGTCGTCGTGTTTCGGTTCAAGCACAAACTCAGCGCACCCTTCGTGTTTAGAGTTGCGGTGGGGTAAAAGTTGAGTTGGCGTGCCTTGTCAGGGTTACTTGGAGGAGCTGGTGCGGCTGCGCGAGTCCCAGCTGAAGAACACCGAGGTGGAGAACAAGAGGCTGAAAGCCCGCCTGGATGAGCTGCACGGTCAGAGTCACCAGGAGAAGAAAGAGCTGGAGACTGTCGTCCTCGAGCTTCAGGAGCAACTGTGAGTGGAAACCGTAAAACTTCTCGCCGTCATTCCACGCCGATCGTCACGATGTAAAGTGGAACCGTTTTGTTCAATTCGATACAGAACAAGTTTGATTCCGTGTGACAGCAGCCACTTGGCCAAGAACCTGACCATCCCGCTCGTGAACCAATGGCCTCTGCTCGAGCCGTACGACAGCCAGGACCACGTCAAGCTCTTCCGCAGGTTTGACCGATAATTACAATTCTTTTGAAGGAATATTTTGCTCTGCGAATATTTTGGGCCTGCAAGGGTCAGGTGGTAGAGTGGTCATCTGCCACCTATTCGCTGTTGTTGTGCTCTGGCTCTGTCTCATTCGGAAATATTGATTGGTACCGCCTTGTGACATCTAAGGGCCAAGGAACGATATTGATGTGAAGGGAGGAGTTTTATTTAGCAATTGTCGGTTCATTCCCCAGCCCTATCTCTGTTCAGTACCTTGTTGGTTTTGTTTGTTGATCTTCAGAAGGAGTTTCCCCAGCACAGAGCTTCTGTCAGTGGAGATTAGCTTGGATTCAGACCCTCTAAGGCCGGAGGGGAAGCAGAACGGAGGAGCCTGGTGCACAGGTGAATAATCTCACTGTTGTCCCTTACAAGAAGAAAAAAAAAAAACAACAACAATTCAAACTGAAAATGTTTCTTGCATCCAGAAAAGGACTACACCCCTTCCCTCATGGGACTTTGCGGCTCCTTGGGCTCCCTTCCAAGCTGCAAGTCTCTATCAAGCCTCAAGTCCAGTGAGTGCCTGGTCCACATCAGCACAGAGAACAGTCCTGCCCTCTCTCCCAGCTAGGGGCCGCCAAAACCAACGCTCCCGTCCGCTTTCCAGACACTGAAAGACAATTCGGCGTGAAACACGACGTCAAAATAACGCCTCTTGAACTCTCACCGCTTTCCATCCCTCTTTTGACTTATGCTATTTTTATGAACGAGTAGCAAGACTTTCCAAGAAAAAAAATAAATAGCTGGAGTACTGCCCTTCTTCACTCATATCGTACGTACACATCGACTGACAACTGTCAACCAGGCGTTGTTGTCGTCTGCATACATATTTGAAGATAACTGCTAAAAACGTGCAAAGACTGAGAGCTATGTCGTCCACAATTCTGAAGATAAAGCGGGGGGGTGGGGGCATGGCTCAAACGCTGCCACGTGAAGGACCTCGGAGTCCGGCATCAGTTGCCCCGCCTTCACTACCAAGAATTTGAGCGCCTTTGTTAGCATCAGCGGTTAGCCGGCGCAGCTGAGACCTGGAATTAGGTAACTTGCGTGGCCGCGTAATCATTCCAAATATTGCAGTCCTCTCACGTCCGTCAAGTTCATAATACATTTCATTTCACCTTACAAGGACTTTAGTGTTTGTTAAATTGCAATCATGTCAAAAAATCCCAAACAAACAAAAAAAAATAAGGTTAGATGTTGCTGAGTCGAAGTTTAGACTTAGGATATGACATATTAGCATCAGGCTAGCGAGGTTTGCAGGGGCATTGCAATACACCCTACAAATCGAAAGTGCATTATGACTATGCAGAATGAATGTTTCCATTGTATTGTCCCACAAAACCAAGCGTGCGCAGGAAACAAACGACCCTCCAAACTGTGTTAGTGCGTCGCTCATCGTTTTACCAATGAATTGCTCTTTCGAGACAATTCTTTTTTTTTCATGACGTATCCACTTAGTATTCGGTAGAATCTTGTAATATTTTCAGTGAGAGCTACGCGGTGCATTTTTGTGTTATTTAAATGCAATAAACTTGCTTTTTTTTTTTGAACAACCAAATGGAAGTATGCGGTGAATTTGCAGGCTAGATGCTAATTGACATGTTCAGTTAACTCCCCGCCCGTAAAAGAGTTATTTGGTGTTGTCTCTGGCCAGCGACGTTTCTGTTGGCTGCAAAATAATGAGCTGATGGACACAAGCATTCCACCTACTGAGATAAGGCATATCGGTGTTGGTGGGCCAGCTAGACAATTGTGTTGTCAAGCCCACATGCGTTTGCATAGGTGCGCATTTACAGTCAAGTATAAGGGGGAGGCTACTTGGAGTTGCTTCAAGGAGGGCATAGCATGTTATCTGTGCCTCCTTTCGCAACCCCCACCATTGGCACTCCCTTTTTGCACAGAGTCGGGACATTTATCTGCTACAATGCACACTGCCGCTCTCACACAAGCTTACGCAGGCACACACCACCCCAAACCAGTCCACCCGGATGGTTGTTCATGCATGCAGTTTGCAGGCCTTAAAATCCTTGTTACGAACCGGGGCCATTTGTTGGGGTTGGATCATTTTGGCCATCCATCCATTTTCACTATAGCGCCTGTTTGCATTACGGATCATGGGTGAGCTGGAGTCAGCCATTTTGGGGCAAGAGTAGAAGTAGCCCGATTTGGTGTGCATGGTGTGAAAGTCCTTCTCATCACAGGCCACATCATAGTGATGCCTCCCATCGGAGGGCTGAGAAAATCATGGAAATGTCTCAACATATTAGTTCAGTTTATGTTCTGGTTTGGTGAGATTCAGATTTTGTGTGTGGGGGCCAGGGGGTGTATTATCTGTAAAAGTGGGAGATTTTCGACCAAAATGAGATGCCTGTTCATAAAAAGTAACAAAGTATATGTTACAATATAGAGTACAAGGGCTTCTTGTGTTCTATATTGAATCACGTCCGTTCATAAAAACAGAAGGGCTCGGTGACTTTCCGAACATCGTGTACTTCTAAGAGGTCACTCATTAATGACACGTATTTAAAGTGTTGAAAGTGATCCTTTAACGTGTTGAACGATGATGTTGCGTTTATATTACGTTCCGCTGTCTCAACAAGTGATCTGAAACAAAGGGGGCGTCAACAAACTAACTTCATCGTGCGTCCTTCGAGAGATTTGTAGCAAACCATCCAATTGGCAGGCAGCTTCCAGTTGCCTTGACCAATCAGAAGTAAAGACCACTAAGTCCCTCCTTCCCTTAATTAAACCCACACCAGCGTGGCGGAGGTGTTTGGAGTCTGCGGGCTGAGTGAGCAGACAGAACCACGGGAGCCAGTTCGCAACTTTCTAGGCCACCACAACCCGCTGCGACCCGCACGAAAACAATTGAAAATTATTTTGAATTTGACTAGAAAACCCCGTAGTCGGTGCTTTGTTGACGTGCTCTTTTTCCCCCTCCCTCGTGGAAGGTGTCTGCTTCCTTGTTCGCCAGCGAGCTCCAAACATCTCCACATCCTCACAAAGAAACTTTGCTTGCTAGGCAGCTAACTCGCCTGAAGACGACAAGAAAAGTGGCCCGAAGCTCATGACGAGCCACAAATAACCGCTCGGCGTCGGAGGTAACTCTTTAGCCGTCCGTGGGAATGCCTACTCGCTGACTCGGGCTTGAATTCGCCTGATTTAAGTAAGCGAACAATCGAGGGACAAGCGGCGGTAGTGCTTCCCAGCGAGCAACCCCCCACTCCATCACCTTCCTCCACATCCGTCGCTGGTCCACCAAAGGCTGCTGCAGGCATGTCAGGCCGGAGTGGAGCTACTGTGGGCCCGCAGCCCCTCAAGGCGACCGTCCCCTATCAGCTGGCCAGCAAGCACCGAGCCAAAGGCAGGGATGGAAAGTCAGGTAGGAGCCTCCCCACCTGTCACTCGCCATTGGAGGCACCAAGACACGCTCACATACAAAAGGAGTCATACTCTTAAGTAGAGAGACCGGCACTTGGGTTTAAAAAAAGGCACTAATAAATGTTTAAGTACTCGCACTTGGCGTAGAAATACAGATACTTGTATAAAAACTGACTAGTAAATCTAGAAGTACCCATTCAGGTGCTCACACTTTGTATCAAAGTAGAAGGCGTGTGTTCAAAAATGACTGGTAAAAGTACTGATTCAAGTAGCGACATGTAGTACATAAGTCAAAATCAAGAGGGAAAAAAGACTCATAAAAAGTATAGAAGTACGGATTCAGACACGTAGAACCACTGATTCAAGTGTAATTTACTCCAAAAGTATCATACAAACATCAGCTGAACCAAAGTCTCCAGATCTGATCCTGCTATTGTGTCGCATAGCGATCATATGTTTAAGAGTTAACATGCTGTAGCTCCGAAAAATCTGAAATGAATCAGAAATCAAAGTCGTCACCAAAGTCAACATTTGAGTGTTGGACCGAACGATGTTCATTGACTTGTATCCCGACGACAGCTGGAAAGGCCAAACCGCAGCAGCTGAGCCTCGGCATGAGGCGGACCGTGTCTCTGGACGCCATCATCGGCCCCTACCTGCAAGGCCACTGGCCCAAAGAACCGGAGGGCAGCTTGTGCCGAAAGGACAAATCCACTCAGGTCAGATGATTGGGGCGCCTTCTCCATTTTATATGAAGTTGGCTACGCATAGAAAAATGCTCTCAAATGATTCATGTAGCACAGCACAACCACCATTTAAACAATATTTTCCTGACGTTCTCAAACTGAGCTTTGAGGTCTTTGTAAGGGCTCATGAATGGCATCTTGTTGGCTTGCGTACCTAATGAAGTGACTTAACTTAATATATATATATATATATATATATTTTTTCTTGTTCCCAGACTCCCAACTGGTCGGACAAAACGTCGAGCCGGAGGGACGACGACGGCGGCGGCGGCATCAACCACAAACGCTCGGCATCCTGGGGCAGCACGGAGCATCTGCAGGAAGTGAGCGTTTCGCTTCGCAACATTTCTCGTTTGTTAAAAGCACCCGAGAGCACTGGCCCGGAATGGAAAATGACTCGAGATTGCAATAGCACAAAGCGTGCAATTGAAACTCGCTTCACACTCATTTGTTTTATCTCACTCGGAAGAAGCGGTGCGCTGTCCGACTGACTGGACGTAACCTCTCTCCGTTGCAGATCAGCAAACTAAAACAACAGCTGCAGCAGCACAGCAAACCTGGCGTCTCGGGGGGCCACGAGCGAGACCGCCAGCGCGGCTCCACTCTCGGGAGCTGTAACCTGGGAACCGCTCAGGTGCTTCTGCACTCTGCCGGCAACGTGCACCTCGCGAGCTTGTTTTTTTTTTTCCCCCATCTTATTTGCTAACATGGCACTTTTCGAGTGTAGAATTTCAACGAGGCAACCAAATCTTAAAGTTCATCAGCTTGACAACTGATGAACTCATCCGATGAGTGATTTGAGAGACGATCCCTGGGCTCACGAGTAACCTTGAGAGTTTGTGAGATGTTCAGCTGTCGCTTGGCCACTTTTTGTACTTTGACGTGATGTTCACGCCGTCTTCACTCGGGCACATCGCAGGAAATGAAAGAAGTCAAACCCTGAGGCAACAGGAAGGACACAACATCACACCGCTTCTGCATTTCAGCACAGCTGTGGCATGTTTTGTTTTTTTTTCTGTATAAAAATTAATTTGGTGTTCAAAAAGTCTTTTTTCAAACTTGAGCCTTGAAAAAGAGGGGGTCGTCTTATAATCAGGCCCGTTTTATATTTGGGCCATTTTTTTTTTTTTTTTTTTTTTTTTTTGTCATTTCCAGGCTCGGTTCAGCAACATAAAACGTTTGTGCCGCGGGCCGCTTTTGCGGTCGTGCCGGTTTTCAGAGTTTTGTTGCCGCTTCATGAAATTCCTGCGATATCTCGGCGCACGTTGCAGCCGTGCTGTGGAATTTGCTTCCCGACCGTTGCAACCCCCCCCCCTTGCATGAAAGGCGGACATCAGAGAGCTTCATAAGGACCCCCCCC